TTGCGGATGTCTATTGGCAGTGGTTGTATGCCACCTTAGAATATAAAAACAAACATTAATTAGTATTAAAAACTTACATTTCTTTTTAGTTACAGGTTTCACTACTTCTTCATCTGATAGTTCTTTTAGTTCCACATCACTGCCATTATCTGACCAATCATCATTCTTCTTCCCTTTACCTAAAAGATATAATGACACCATTTATAAATGAAAAATATTCTATTATTCTTACGAGAGGAAGCTTGTCCTAGTTCGAGTTTGTGGAAACTATAGCTCACTGCTTCAACTGCAACTATGCCTACTACTATGACTACTGTAACTACTACAATTACTGGTACAAGTCCTACTACAACTACTAGGTCTCGGATTCCCGAAGTACTATGTCTTGGACTAAGTAGTAGTAGATCAACAGTAGCAGTTTCACTTACCCTTTTTGCCTTTAGCTTTAGTAGCTTGTTTACTAGATGTATTACTAACTACTGACTTGGTGTCATCATGATCTTCTTCATCTGACTGTTCCTCTACAGCTTTCTTTTTATTCCTTGCTGTAACATAAATATTGTGTCTATTCATTGCATTATTTCTCAAACTAAAAAGATTTAAGAAAAAAAAACTCTCTGTATAGCTTAGTAATATTAATACTAGCTACAATTTTCAGTACACTTGCCTTATATCACGAATTATAATAGCAAGGAGACTTAGTTTAGTCATATTGTTTTCTTTTTAAGAAGGAAAATTTTAAAGGTTATAGTCACCTTTTTTTTTACTGACAGGTTTTGCTATTTCATCTTCTGAAACTTCCTTGAGGTCTAAATCACTGCCATCATCTGACCAATCATCTTTTTTACCCTTGCCTAAAAATTTATTTAAAACTATTGAAATACAAATGTAATTAAATTTTATAATACAAAACATGTATTTGAAACTTTGGCTCTTTTTAAATAGTTATGTACCCAATTTTTAATAGTGTTTATATGTAAAAATGTTAATAAAATAAATATAATTTTCATTCTTCCTAATAAATTATCCTGAAAAACTATAAAAGTTCTAATTTAAATTGTATTAATAAAAAAATATATGTTATTTAAATATTCATAGAAAACTATATTTATTTAAATTAAACTCCATCAAATTAAGGTCATGAATTCTAAATATCTAAAAAATAAAGAGTATATAATAAAAAATAATACAATTAATTTGTGAAATCGAAAATAATCAAGAAAATTCGGAAGCAGGCTGTTTAATGGTACATTATTATTACAAATTTTAATTAACCAACCTTTTTTCTTTTTACTTTGTTTAGAGGGCTTTGATGCATTATTTGTGACCTTACTATCTTCATATTCATCATCAGAAACATCATCTTTCTTTTTGTTTTTACCTGAAATTAAAGAGTCAATCAACAAACCCGTAGAGAGAAAAGAAACAGTATCCAATCATTAAAGACAACTGACACTAACCTTTTTTTTGCGACTTTTTTGTTGCGTGTTTCGCTTCTTCTTCATCATCAGAAGCTACATTTTTCTTATTCGTATCCACTTCTTCGTCACTAATGTTAGCACTTGTTTTTCCTTTCTTTTTACTTTTCCCTTTATTCTTTGAGGTTATATCATGCGATTCTTCCAACCGCTTGTCTTCGAAGTCTTCATCAAGGTCTTGATTTTTCTTTGTACCTTTTTTCTTAGACATGTTGGTATAATGTTATATCTATATAATGTGTTGCAATATGTTTGTAATACTGCCACCTCATAAGAAAATTCAGGAAATGATAGTCTTGGCGAAAGTCTTACTCCTAATATGTCATTTCAATTTGACAGCATGCTAATGACATTAACCCTTGCGTTCATAAATGACGTAATGATATGTCACTTTCGAAAAAAAAGCAATAAGGTAATGTAAAATGTTAAAAAAATGATCAAAATTGCCTTGCCAGATGAGCGCACACTAACTGCAGATGGTAACGGTAACTATCAGACACTAACTCAAAGTACTGTCTGGTACTATATCGGTTGGTTACAGAATGTTCGGTGAAAACGGTTCCCTTTCAGCTTTCGGGCTCTCCCCTTCTGTTGCGAGCTTTTGTACAATGTTTTTTGTATTATATTATACATCCCCACTGAGGGCACGGAACTTTCCTTAGTTAGGGAGGTCTAGGCCATAGTCAACCACGCTGACCCAGTGAGAGTTGGTGATTTCACACATATCTTTGAATTTCTTCGCAGATATGAACATCACAAAGGTTGCATCACAATGTTTTTCTTCATCTTAAGAACGTCGGATAAGTGTACATATGTAAACCGAAAAAAACATTGGTACGTGACGGAATTCGAACCCAGGAACCGCAGATTACAAGTCAAGTGCTTTAACAATTGAGCCACCGACGCTCTCCGTATCAGATTTTTGTATCGTATTACAATTCTCAATTCTACCACGAATATTGTCAGTTTTACCACGATTTACCATATATATGTCCTTTTTCATGGAAAGATGAAAAGTATCAGTAAGTACCAGTCCTAAGTTATTGGTGATCGAGCAATTTAAATGACATTGTTATTTCTTCATAGAGAATTTATTGTTTATTTTCAAATGAGACTGGTTATAATGCTTTAAGTGTTTATATTAAAAAAAAAGAAATTAAGAGAAAAGAAGTGAAAACAGAATTTCAAATCTATTCGTATAACTCTTACAAGTTTTTCTTGATTATAATGATAAAAGAAGTTATTTCATTGCGTTTATTGGTATTTATTTTATTTCTTCTAAACTACACAGATGTTTGTTCTAGTGAAAATGTAAAAAAAAGCGTATACGAAAATAGAGACGACAATGGAGATTCAAATGATGACGGTAAAGATGAATCAATGGATGTTCCTTATGAAGCCGATCAAAACAACGCTACATGCACCAGGAGACATAATAGCCAAATGCACGAGGTACGATCAGCATTTGCTAAGCAATTTCCTTTTATGGCCGCTATAATGTCTCAACAGAATGAATACTTGTGTTCGGGAGCCATTGTGTCTAACGGACTTGTTCTTACATCTGCTCAGTGTATTCAGAAGCCAATTAATTATATCTTACTCAATACAACTACAGCTAAAAGAGATAATACATCTGTTCTTCTGCATATAATAAAATCTGAAAAATATCCAACATATTCTGGAGCTGGAGCAGGAAAGGATGTCGGTCTTGTATACACTGAGAAGCATAATACATCCTTTGTTTCGAAACTTGGCTTAAGTAATATGACTACTGGAGACCAACTAACGGACGTGGAAGCTTTCGGATTTGGTTTAAATACTGATTCTGGCCTTGAAAAAGAGTTACAGTTCGTTGGCTTAGAGCGGCGATCACCGTCGAACGAACACTATTTTAGTGCTTATCTTGACTGTGTTGAAACCAAAGTACTGACCTGTTTTAAAGATATTGGTGGACCAGTGATTTTTGATCATCAACTCGTCGGCGTGGTTGTCAAAGGTCAAAGTGACTGTACTAGAGAAATTACATCACGTTATTCTATCAACAAATTTATGATTGACTTTCTACCAACCTACGCTTTTAAAGCATGGCTGAGTGAAAGAATTAAAACGAACGAAGAACATGAAGCGGTAGCCATGCAAACATATCCCACGAAGCCGATTCTTCGACAGACGGCTCATGTATTAACCAGCACTAACAGAAATTCGGCGCAGAGATGGCCACTTAAAGTTATTCTTTTATATTTAGTATCCATTGTAACTTACCTTTAATTTAAATTGGTTCTTTGAAATTTTGCATTCATAGTTCTTTAATAAATTCCTCAATAAATTTTATTCTATATTTAGCTTTTCCCTATCATAATTGGTAAAATTTCATTATGGTAATCTTTTCTTTTTACGTATTTTAAAACGAGACTAATTTTAATAGAACGAACGGCTCTATTAAAATTAGTCTAAGACTGATGGAATGGAACGGCTCGGAATCTACTCAAGTTAGAGTTGGCTATGTAACAATGTTGATGCAATGTGGATTGGTTGATATCACAAGTAATTTTTTTTTAAATTCAGGGTATTTTGCGATGTTTTCCTTCTCCGTTCCGGATAAATGTACATATCAAATTCGGAAATCTAAAAACACGGCGACACAATAATAGGTATACACAGGTTCGAACCCGCAAATTAAGTCCCGTTCTTAAACTTCTAATCTAGCGGAGTCAACAAGACTTGTCATTATCAGATTTTTTTATTTATTTACATAAACTAGGTTGGTTTAGATCCAATAAGGATACAGAATTGTCATGGACTGATTTAATGTGTAAATAAATATTATTGTAGGTTTTTTTCGAGTTTTCCGAAGTGAAACCGTAGCCAAATAAGTTTAATCTCTTAATAACTTATCTCCGCTGATGAGAATGGCACTGTTCTCGTGGTTGGTTCAATCTACAGTTATTAAAATTTGAGTGTGCATGTAATATCAGAATAAAATATTCATATTTCCTGCACATGATTATTTGCGTTATTTATACCAAGAAAACTTTTTTAAATTTCATCCATCCGCAAGTTCACGTTTGTTTCAATTAAAAACCAAAACCGCTGCTGAACCAATATTCCGGGACTTCAATGGTCTTGTAACCATGCTGACGAAGTTGCATGCAATAGCTGGTCATGAAATATTCGTCTATGACCACAGTAGAGTGCATCTCTATCAGCCGTTTGGATATAGCGGTCGCCCTCGAAATCGTCACCGTGGAACTTAAAAAAAAAAGTAGCCTATAATATGCACGAACACATTAACTATACCCAGTGAAAGTTCCGTCAAAATATAATAGCACCAGCTGTTTTATATATTACCCGGAACAAACGTACCTTGCGGACAGACAGACTGACAAACAAAAAAAATAAAAACTGATTTTCCATTATTTTAATTTTGATTGATATAATTCCTACATTTTAATTAAATGTAATCTATGTTAATGCAATATCCTATAGAACAAGGCCAATCCAATATCTGTCAATGTCAGTGTCATCTGTAGAATGAACTTAAGATTTGCCAAGATTTGTCTACTTTATTTACATCGATTTACAGTTACATTTTGCATTCTAAATTAATTTACATTAACTATATAAAAATAAACCTTTTAGAACAACAACTTATAATCAATTAAACTTATTAGCAAAAAAAAACAAATAAAATCTCATTCATTATTTTGTTAAAACATTTATAATGGTGAGGTATGGAGTCCAGAATACCAACGATAGAATACAAAGAAGAGAGAGGAACCGAGTTAACAGATCCTCGTCGATTGTTGATGATGACGAGGATAATGATGAAGTTGATAACATTCAGAGGTAAATTGCTTTCCATTAAAACTGACCACGTTATATACCAAGTTTTAAACTTTATATTTTAAGTTAATGTCGGCAAGATCTTAAACTTAAGATGCTGTAAGAATTTTATGGAATTCCGCATTAATCACTCGGGCGATATAACTGAAAGCAACTAAAGTGATGAAAATGTGTATGATGCCAGGTTATCAAGTGAATTATTTTTTAACTATGCCCCTTTTGTTAGACATAAAACGGTGCACTTTGTATGTTTCCTGGGATTACATACACAAATTGGCATGGCAAAATTATATAATAATATTGCAGCAGATAAATCAATGACTTTTATCACATTTTTTTATCTTTTATTATTTTAATTTTTTAGCAGATATCTTCACCCTATAAATGCAAGAAACACGAGTTCCATTTCTGATGAATTTACTGATGACGATGAAAGGGAAAGAGAGTAAGAATTTTCTTTTTTTCTTAACAGAAACAGCTTGTAATATTATTAAAAATGATGTATGACAAATGTGAGGTTATTTTGATCATAAATAATTTTTGAAAATGTTAATGTACATGAAAATTTATTTATATCAATTCTCAAATGCCTATATGATAGCAATGCTTTATACAGAGATACCACTTGAAGATTGAATATTCATCCTATAATTTGTTTACTCACAAATAATAGAGAGTTGTATGACTGTATGAAGTTTGTATTTTTCATTGGAGTGTTATTACACTATCAATATTTAATTAATCTTTTTGGGTTTCTACACAAACTGGCTAGCAATAGATTGTTAATCTTATATAAAAAAGCTATATGTTACTATTGCAGAAATTCGTGCGACTCATACGTAGAAGACTCCTTTCAGCAATCCACTATAGATAAGAAAGAGACCAAAAATTATTCAAGTGTTGTTATTGTAGCAGTCATTTTTAGCATTATTGGAGTTATATATATGTTCTATTTACACAATAATAGGCAAAACCAAAATATATATGATGAAAGTAAATTTTATAGTGATATAGATTATTTATGTAAAAATTACAAAATCAACTACAACTCTATAATGCAGATTCAATCAGGTGAATATACATTAATATCATTAATCATTAAATAATAAATAAAAACAAAATAATTTACATGTTATATTTTTTTACAGTTATTTCCACAACATTTCGGAAAGAAGATGCTGCATCACTTATATTCACATATAACAGTGCTAATTCTAATTTTAATCCAGCAAATTTTAATCAATTTATGAATGATCTTGCCTTCACTACAGCCAGATATCTTCGTAAGTTATTCGATAAAAAATATTGATTTATACCAGCTGTCACCTGTGGCTCCTTCCGCGCGGAAAAAAAAATTAATGAGCAGCCTATTTGTTCTTCCTATGAGCTCTACATCTATGCCAAATTTCATCAAGATCTGTTGAGCCCTTCTGAAAAAAAGTTGAGATCTAAATGTTCACATTTATAATATTATTCATTTTTCTTACAGATAGACATTAGATTACAGGTAGATAGAAAAAGTAAGCATAGTAATTAATAAAATGTTATCTCTTCCAGGCAATGACAATAACATTCACAACCATGTTATTGTGGATAGCACTAAACTTGATATGAAAGTCCATAGTGAACTCATCGAAAGATACAGAAATGATGTTACCAAAACCGGTGTTATGTTAGTCACAGATCTTGACGAAGTGCCATCATCTCTTGCAATGGCCTTCCATTATTATTGTGATGAATTTAATCCTCTTGTCAAGAAAAGTGCTATACTTTTCACTCTCAATATGGCAAAATGTTCAGGTAAGAATGTTAATATTCTAACCAAGGCTTTCACAGTGAAAACCTTTTATATAATTTCCTTTTTTAATCTTCTTAATGTCTTTAAGAAGTAGATATAACAATATTAAGTTTCGGCAAAGGAATTAACAATTTAATTTGTTTAACCCTTGATTGAATTGATATTAATATGTGAGAGAAAAACTTAAATCCTATAAAGGGTCGTTCATTAATCCGTTGATCGTATCTGGTAATATGTGGGAAGTTATAAATTTTTCCCCCTCGTATCTACAAAGTTGTAATAAAAAAAAATATTTGATTATTAAATTAACTTCATGAATTAGAAAGGATATACGCGTGATACATTATTTTATATATTTATTTTTGATTTGAAAAAGATTTCTTTTTTTCAGATCCCAAAATAACACATGCAAGTGTTGAAAAATGCTTGGCTAAGAAATGGACAATAATTCCTAAAGACAATATCGTTCCCTTGTTGACTAGAATAGTAAATGTTGTTATTGATGTTACAAATGTTATCTAAACAGTGAATTAAAATGATTCACTTAATTTTCCTTAATGTAATATTCAACAAAATCTAAATTTGAAAAATATCCATATGCTGATAATAAACTAGAGAAATATGAAATCAATTAAATGCAATAAAATAGTATTTATCTGATACTGGCTGTCGCCCGCGACAACGTACGCGCGGGATTAGCAAAAAAATTGGTAGCCGATGTATTCTTCCAGACCGTTTTCTACATCTATGACAAATTTCAGCGAGATTTGTGCAGCCATTCTGCAGATAACTTCCAACAAAACATCCATCCATCTAAACATTTGCATTTATTAAGAAGTAATAACTTAAAACTTAATAAATTAATTTGCAGAAATTGTGATATCGCTCGTAACCAGTGTTCTTTAGACGGTCTGCAATTATTTGTCCTCCATGTGTTTTTTAATTTATTATATTAGTTAAGTAAAAAAATTTAAGAGTAATAATTGCATGATGGATTTCACTTGGTTTTATTGTTGAAATAAGGTAGGTTTTATAATGAAGTTTTTTCTTTTGTGTATTAATTTCATATAGGTGAGGCTCAAAAAAAGCTAAATTAACTTGTTACATTTGCCCTGTATTCTCTCTCTGTAGTTAATTTCTATCTTTACTTATGAATAAAAAAAAACTCGAATGAGACTGAATGATTGTAAATAATGTAATTATTGCTTTAGCCTGGAGAGAATTTCTCTGTGATGACAAGTAGTCTAAAAAGTTTACCATTAAAAATGTTAAATTGTATAAATTCTTTTTCATCATGAAATAACCAACCTTATTAGCACTACTTGTCTTATTTAACATATTGTATGTTTAGTTAAAAAGATGAGTATTTAAACTGTATTTAATTTTTATACATTTATCATAAAATGATACAATTTCTTTGTAATCAGCTAAATTAAACAATTTAAATTGCACAAGTACTTTTTTATTATACCATTTCTAATTTTTATATCCATTATTAGCTGTCGTGTGTCTGTCAACTTCGTCCGTGCGCAGTTAAAAAAAACTTAATAAATAGCCTATGTGTTCTTTCAGGCTTTATTCTACATCCAGATCCTAGAGCCAGATTTCAGCAAGATCCATGCATCCGTTCTGGAGATCCAACAAATAATCATGCATCTAAACATTCAAATTTATAATATAATATAGATAGATGTCGCAATAGGGATGCAATGTAATTTAATTTTTTTCATCAACATCACGTACAAATATGCTGAATTTACATTAGCAATAATAAGGTTTTAACTGTGTTATTATTAAATTGAATAAAACTAAAAAAAAGTATGATTTTTAATATGAAAATTTTAGACAATTTAATTAAGCTAGAAAATTATCCCACAAGCAGCAATGTAGTTAAAAATTTCAAATTAAAAAATAATGGTTCTAAAAAAAGTAATATTTCACTTCACTTCCAGGAAACTGTACCTTTGTAGTTTTCCACTGCAGTGAAATTTGACACATATTGTTGTCTCTGTTTTTTCAAAGAGAATGTGAGGGATGAAAATATGTGTCAATACAAGTGTCATAGAAGTCAGCCCACAGAATATCAAGAGGCACATAATATTTTTTTTAACGATAGTACATAAATAATAATTATTCTTTTTTTGACTTAATTACACATAAAATATAGTAGTTAACAAAACTGCTTTGATAAAGTAGTCAACTCAATCACTGCACTGGGTCTGGGTCAGCATATCTTCAGTTACTCCGCATATTACTTGCAGACTTTAACTGTCTTGATGTAAAGATAGAATTCCTAAAACAAAAAGAACAAAAATAAAAAATATAGAACACAAATATTATTGTCACCAGAACCATATACAACCTTAACACCACTGATGATAATAATCATTAAAAAAAAGTCTTTTTTTCAATGCTTCATTTGGAATAAAATGTTTAACAAATAATTTTACTGTCAAATAAAAATGTCGATTTTCTATTTTCATCAGTACTTGTTTAATTTGTATAATTTATCCTTACGCTACTGAATTGGCCACATCGCACTTTGGTCTGATGTGTTGGTTTCTGATGCGTCATTAACATCATCTAAGCTGTCTGGTTCCAAATCGTTGTTGTTTCTTGGTGGTGAATATGTTGTTTGTAATTCTTCTTCCTCGTCTTCATCATGAGATTCCTCAGATTCATCTGTTTCATCATTTCCTGTACCAAATTAAGTACTTTAATTTCAATATAAAAAAATTATGAAATTTACACAAATTGCAAATAAATTTGATGTACCTTCTTCTTCATCGGTATCCGCTTCTTCTTCCATTGGCTCAGGTTCTGTTTTCCCTAATGGGGCTCTTTTCATATATTGTTGTCCAATAGAACTTAACTGAAATGCATATAAAAAAATCCTATAAGTAAATATACAGAATTCAGCATTATCTAAATTTGACATACATATACATTTGGCCTCAAATTTAAATACTTAAATCTAAAAAAATCTTATTTTTACCCAATGTTGATTCGCTTGTTCCAAACTTGTCAATTCTGCATCTTCATCGCAAGGACTATCGGCGTTAAACCACTTAGAATCGATGAGGCGCGGCAACAAAACAGGGAAGGGTATATTCATTTTAATTAATGAGAATCAAGGAAATTTCTGTTTACTTCGCGACTCACAATAAAATTACAACTGCAGTTTTCAAAATTCCTAAACAATCTTGACATTGACACTGACAGTTTGACATCATTGTAAGACAGAATAAACATAGTTGTAGATTAAACAATACGTTGTCAAGGTCTAAGTGTTCAAATAGAAGACAGTCGACCAGTCCTAAAACACAAACTAAAACGTAAATCGATCCAACGATCCTGGATCGAACATACCTATTCGTCACAGCACTTACCCGCCAAAAAGTTGAAGCTACCTTACACTCGACATTAGAAAGACTTGCAGGAAATTATAAAAAAAAGTAAAAGAAGTAAATAATTAAACCATTATATATTGCAGTAGTACTTATAATAATATCTTCAGAAGAGCTACAGTCAGCTTCGCCTTCAGTCTTACCATATTGTAAATACATAAGTAGTATATTTACAAATTAAATCAATTAGAAAAGAATTATAAGTTAATCCAACAAAATGTCATCTCTATTCCGACAATAACAACTAACAATATGATCATTTACAAGACCACAAGCCTGCATAAAAGCATAACAAATAGTAGATCCCACAAATTTAAATCCTCTTTTTTTTAATGCTTTAGAAAGAGCTTTGGAAATATCCGTTTCAGTCGGGACATCTTTTACATTTTCCCAATTATTAATTATAGGCCTGTGTTGTACAAAACTCCAAATAAAATTAGAGAAATCTTCTCCATTATTTTCCATAGCCAGGTAACAATCAGAATTATGTTTAATAGCTATTAATTTTCCTTTATGTCTAACAATTCCTGGATCATTTAGTAACTTCAGTATTGCTGTCTCTGACATTTTTGAAATTTTATTAGGGTTGAAATTATGAAATGATTGCTTATATTTTTCTCTCTTTTTTAATATTGTTATCCAAGACAAGCCAGCCTGTTGCCCTTCCAAACATAACATTTCGAAAAGTTGATAATTATCGTATACTGGTTCACCCCATTCACTGTCATGGTACTCAATGTATTGTGGGTCTTTAGTAACCCAACCACATCTAACAATTTCACCTGAAGTTTTAATTTCTGATTGTGGCATGCTTATATTATTTTGTTGGCACGTTATTATTTAGTGGTAAATCAAAACCTATTTGTAATTGGTAGTATTATAATAATTCTTCTAGTACAATAGTAGAAGAATTATTAAATTATTCAGTTTCTATGTCTTCATCAACACCAAATTTATACATTTTACAAATCTTCCCGCGGGAAATTTGGTTTCAGTTCTGCAGTAAGCTAACAATCCAGAATACATATATGTATTATTGTTTTTGATATTATTGTTATACCAAATCCATTAATATTTTGGAAATAGATTTATTCTTTCAAATTTGGTCTTCATTTATAAACCTGTCAAGTGTCATGCAGTTGTCAAAGAAATATTAGCAATAGATGGAAAGCTTTTTGCCAAATTTTCAATAATTAGCTTAACTTTAAAATTGAGACCTAAAATCCTAAAATATTAAAAGCACTTTCATAAATTTCATTAAAGTATAAAATTTATTCTTTGTGCCTGTTTTTTATCATGATTATTGTCTACAGAATTTACAGTTCAGGTTCACCTTATCAAAGAGTTTAATAAAAGTATTTATTAAGTAAATCATGTCGCAGTGTTTTTTCTATTAAACAATGAATATATCTTTCAAGCTAGGAAACTATTAAAAAGACGTCAAATTTTCGTAAATTGTTCTAATCGTATAAACTTGGTGTATTAATATTCAAATAACCGGTACAAATTATCCATTTTGGGCCCCCATATACTTTTGCGAGTTTAGATTGATGATTACATCTATGGGGTTTTATGTAACGCCTAGTTAGTGGACTGTGCATTACGTTTTTTAATAAATTTAAGTGACCACTGCTAACTGAACCCTCCGCTAATTGCTGTAGAAGGGGGACGTATTCTTGCTTCGATAATTCATTAGAAATTCTCGTCATCTGAAAATATATTACGATAGTTAATTTCGTTTAAATAGCAATTTATGCTTTTAAATTTTTTCAATTAATACTTACAACTGTTTTTAACTGATTATCGGTCAAAGGCGTTGTTATAGGACCTAGTAATAAAACACTGCTATTTTTTTCAAGACTTTCAGGATCTACCGATATAAGTTCTTCACTACCATTACCTCGAACTTCTTCATTCATTATTAAAAACATGTATTCATTTAGCAATTGAGGTGGCTTTAAATCTTCTGCATACATTTTCGATATAGGTGCTCGAGGTAAAAATTGGCTTAAGTATTGCTTCTTGTTTTTCCGTTTTTTCTTTGATTTTTTACAACATAGAGACTTTAGTTGTGCCACTAAAACATCGAAAAGTAATTCTTTCTTCTCTTCGTCTTCTTCACTCAATTCGTCAACTTGAGGTCGACTATACAGCAAGTTGTTTATCTTCTGGAAAGCGGCGTAATCAGCTTCGTTCTTTACGTGATATGGATCAACTTCTTTGTTTTCAAGTCTAAAGTAAGCAGACTGAGCTTTTCCAATTGTTGGCTTTTCTATTGTCCGAAACCTATTTTTAAAGTTGGATTGCATTTCAAAACCATTGTTCAACATATTATCGTGTACTTTACTTTTGCCTAAATCAGGAATCATTTTATTGTCATCCTTGGCCGTATTACCAACAGCTAATTTGATGAGATCACTCAGATAATATTCATTTTTTGTTGGCTGTTCGCTTAACAATTTTATTAACTGTTCATCCGATAACTTTGATAAAATATAAGTTCCATCATTTTCTAAAATAAATTTAAACATTTTAGTTCTTATTTGCACTAAATATAATATTACTGGAGCATATGTTTTACCGCGCAAATTTTAAAATTATCAAACAGATTCTATGACCTTGAGAGAAAACAAGCAAAATAAAAAGGAACTCGATGGGAAGCACAGATAATTCTCATAGATATATTCCTTACCAATATTCTTGACGAGCGTCTTTGGTAAGTCCCGATCCTTGGGCACATAAGATTTTGATGATAAAAGACTTGTAACCTCGGCTTCCGATCCACTATTTTCCATGGCGTATCCATGACTGTTCAATATGGATAAGGAATTTACAGCATGTATCTAAAAAGTGGGTATTAACATTTATTATATTTCGTATGAGTACCTACAAAACTAAATATCATTAATCAGAACGGTGTATCACACACATTAGTTTATTATTTATTTCATTAAAATAATTCAAGCGAAATAGAAAAAATTAATATTGGATATGCTTTAAAATAATGTTTTAGGTTAATTTTAACTTACCGTAAACAAAGCAATTTGAATTGTGTAATCGAAACATGATAGCATTGTGCACTTCGAAAGATTTGATCGTACTATTGTACTAATGAATTTAATTTCACGGATGGAAGTCGCAGTTAGAGAAAAAAATAATATTGTCTCATTGTTTACGGAAATCATAATGAACAAGCGCTCGTAAAACATTGTTTCTAATTGCGATAAGGATTGATCGATTCATTCAGTCGGGTGTACAAAATTCTGAGTTTACAGTATTTGCCAGAGATGCTTTCTAGCTTTCTCTGACTTAATAATTTCTCATGATTAAAATGAAACTTTTTTATGTACTAGTATATAAAATTATAATTATAGTTTCGAATTTCAAGTCCAACATTATGTTGGGCCCAATTCTGAAGCTACTCTCCACGGGTACGGGTCTTTTTTGTACCAAGAGGAACGCTTAGTGGTTGCACTTTTGTATTAATCTAGATACTCTTTATACATGGTCATCCATGTTCTGTGTACATACGTATGTCAGGTGATAAAGAATTGTGGAGTAAAACTTTTTTATTCACAAGTGTAAAGCAATGTAAAGCAAAACAGTAGTAAACCGGCTCACTGCTAGGCTCAATTTATACTTGCATAGAGTTATGATTCGTGTCTCAAGCTGAGAACTGCGAGGCACCGTGTAGCTCGTGCATTTGTAGTTCATCGCAATAGACCGTGTGGCTCTACGGTTCAAGTTATATGTGATCTGTATTGTTCAAGCTGATTTATACACAACTACCTTTAATTTTTAGCGCTGCCATTCGTTTACGTATTACGATATTGAATAAATTAAAAAATTATGTATCATTGATTTAAGACAATATTGAAACCAGGTGGAATAATTTTGATGATCATAGACGACCTATGTGAACAACAAGTGGACATCCCTAGTTTGTCCTTCATCGATTCGTTCTCTCCTCTGCTCTATGGCATTTTTCCATCTCTTTGTCTGTGATCTTGGACAGCGACACGCCGCACGCACCGGTACTGCAGCATTTCTTGATTTGATCGCATAACCTTCAAACGAAATTAAAACATGGCTGAGCCACGTGAAAGAACCTTTATTATGGTAAAACCTGACGGTGTCCAACGCGGGCTTGTCGGCACAATCATCAAACGCTTCGAGAAGAAAGGTTTCAAACTGGTTGCCTTGAAATTCGTATGGCCATCGGAAGAACTTCTACAGAACCATTACAGCGACTTATCTTCCAGACCCTTCTTCCCTGGACTAGTGAAATATATGAGTTCTGGACCAGTGGTCCCGATGGTGTGGGAGGGACTTAATGTGGTGAAAACCGGTCGTCAAATGCTAGGTGCAACGAACCCCGCTGACTCTCAACCCGGTACCATCCGTGGCGATCTTTGCATTGAAGTCGGTCGCAACATAATTCACGGTTCCGACAGCGTTGAATCGGCCAACAAAGAAATCGGCTTATGGTTTACGGAGAAGGAACTTGTTGGATGGACTCCGGCTGCCGAAAACTGGGTCTACGAGTAATTTATTCCAATATGTTATACTCCATATATATATATATATATATATGTTTATTTAAGTGTGATAAAGAATAAAGTTTAAATTTATTCAAATTGTATATTTTATAACTTCCCTCAATTACAAAAATGCATTTCAAGAATTTGCTGATATACCTGTTTAGTTTTCTCTATTAGCTGAATATTTAGAGACGAAGCCTTTTCCAAGATAAATGTGTTCAAAAATGCAATTTGTAGTTTCATTAATTAGATATAAATAAAACAAAACATTCTTACAACACTTTTTACTAAGATATAACATCATATTTAAAAACCTTACCACCTAGCTTACAAAAAGCATCATTCTGATGCAGCAATTTCATATCTGGATGAGTTGTGTTCACTAAATATGATATTCTGTGAATAACCTATGTATAAGTCACTTAAAAATAATATATCTAAAATAATGTACATTATTGCAGTAGTAAAGTAAAAAGAAACAAACAATATTTAGCAAAATCAACCCATCCATTATAAATAAAATACCTTAATTCATAAGATATGCTAACTAAATCACATATAGAATCCTAGTGTCACAGCGAAAAATGTTTTATTTACACATGTGAGATATATAAATTTACAACAAAATTATTTGCTCTTATAACAGCATAATATAAAAATATGTTGCTAATTCCACAGCCAATGATATTCAATATAAATAGATTGGGACACTCGAAAACAAATCCATACTTCTTTATTGGATTGCTTAATTAATTTATTCAGTGGCTCTCGGGAGAACTTTTGTTCTTATAATTTAATATGTTAAGTTTCTTGATAAAATTGCCTTGATTTATTGCATTGTTGAATTTTAATTTAAATTTCCATGTGTAATACTTGGTTTGCAATGGTTAATGTAGCATAACTCAAAATAAATATTGTCAAACGTAATTTCCAATGGAGACCAAAATTATGATAAAATGACACAGCTCTCCAAAATTAATTATTAATTTATTGTAAACCCATTCAAGTGGGAATAATCACTTAATTTATTGCTCTTTTACATTTTTCGAAAATTACTTTATTTTATACTTACATCCCGATATTAATTTTCCACACATAGTAGATTTTCGTTGCATTAAATCAACTATTGTCTTTATTAACACACTATAGATCACTTTTGAAAAAAATACACTGCTCGTGACTCACACTTAAACATAATGGCAGTGACAACTGCACCGTGCACATTATATTAATTACAAATTAAGTAACATGTACCCTTTAACAACTTCTATATACAATTGACCATATAACACTATTAATGTGGGTTTCCACTGCTGTGAAACTTATATTGACACATATTTTCTCTAGTTTCCTTCAACAAAGTAAATAGAGACAATATTTGCTAATGCAAGTGTCAGTGCAGTGGAATTTATGGTTATTTAGCCTTTATTTTTGAATGGGTAAGTAATGTGTGCTAGGCTCAAAGTGTTTGGTCTGGGCGGATTTCTATTTCGACGACGGGTTGCATGCTCTGCGACTCGCTTGTTTGCTGATTGCCTTGTTCCTGCTGGTTTAGCTGCACCCGCGAAGGTAATGGAGTCGTTTGACCTGTACAAAAGGTTTGGCGTCACACACGTCTTATGAAAAATTACTTTTAAACAAGTCAAAAATCAGCCTTACTTAGTAGAACTAATGTAGATATTACTAAATAACAACTCTTAAGAGATGTAACTATTTTCGGTTGGTTTTTAACTTACCATATTTATCATGGATGCCCCTATGTCTCTTGAGAGCGAACCTGTCAGCAAAGGCGGCGGTGCATATGTCGCACTTAAAGGGCTTTTCGCCAGAGTGCACTTTGGCGTGGTTCTTGAGATGTGCCGCCTGGCTGAATGCCGAGCCGCATGTATCACACCTGTAAAATACATTTTCTCCAGAAATCCATCACAGATTTTTTTTAACCTAGTGCATTATAATGTATAGCGTATATAAAGTGTTTAAGATTAAGGTGAAATCAGTGAAATGTACAAACTTGTATGGCTTCTCGCCGGTGTGAATGCGCCGATGATTCCACAGTGTGGCGTGTCTCGCGAACCCTTTGTCACACACCTGTACACAATAAAGATTTATAGCAAAATGTATCAAAAATCGGACCGCAGATAACAAACACTTTTTTTATATTGATTGTGTATAATTAGGATCATTAGATTTTTGAAATATCAAATGTAGATTTCTCAAAAATCTGTGTTAATGTGCCATTTATTAGCTTAAAAAAAACTGTTTAACACGGATTGTTATTGTTAGGTATTCTGATTTCAATACAAAGGTTCGAATGTATTTTTGAACTCACCTCACAGACATAAGGTTTCTCTCCTGAATGTGTTCTTTCATGATTTTTCAAATGTGGAGATTGAGAGAACTGCATACCACATGTACTACATCTGTAATGGAAATAATTCATTTCAATTTATTCCTAAACTCGCTGTCGCCCGCTACTCCGTTCGCGCGGTATTAAAAACACTTAATTAGTAGCCTATATGTTCATCCAGACAATATCCTACATCTTCGCCAAATTTCATTTATGTCTGTTGTACCATGCATACATCAAAACATTCGCATTTAAAATGTTAGTAAGCAGTAAGATAAAGAAAAATCTTACTAACCTATAAGGTTTTTCTCCTGTATGTATCCTAGAATGGTTTTTAAGGTAAACCGCTTTAGCAAAGGCTATCCCACAAATTCCACATTTGAAATTCTTCTCTCCGGAATGTAACTTCTTGTGGGACCAGAGGGAGGAGTACCTCGAGAAGGAACCGCCGCATATGTTACAGTGGAATCGTTTGTCCATATCTGCTTGACTATGTTTATTCTTATTGCCGCCTATGAATATTATTCCTGAACCGTTACAGTTCTGACATTTCGTGACTGATGCCAATGTTCTTTTCTTCACAGGATGATGTCCTGGCACTGATAAAAATTAAAATAAATTACACAATGCAAAAGTCAATAGACAAAACCATGCTACAATCACCAAAATGTTTCTGTAACATCGCAGAGGAATGTTGTAAAGTTTATAGCTGTAATTGCTCATTACAAATGGGGAATAACAATTTTGCTTATTAATGATGGGGAATTTTCTTATTTAAACCCATTATCATCTCTTTATGACATATATATGACACTAACACACTTCATTTTACCATCTTCTCTTAACCATGGTCTCTTTATCTCATGCATCTCGAAAAAAAAAACAATTATTTACAGACAAACCTGGTTTATTGAAAGTAAAAAGTAGTATTTTTTCTCTCTAACTTGAGTTAAAGGTTTAAAAGGTCAGGTTTGACTGTATATTAAAACTTTTATTAATACATACAAGGTTTCTGTGGCTGCTGTGTCTGATGGTTGGTCTGGGCCGTGTCCAGCGGGTCGGCCTGCACTGTGGTCACTCCGCTCACTTCAAACTTTACATTGTCATCCGACGACACCAATAATTGTGTAGAGTTTACTGACAAAGTTAAATACTATATTCATAACATAATTTAGCATAACTCAGCTATTATCAAAATGTTCCACATTTAGAATCAAATAGACATTTAGTTTATAAATTTATTTGTTTAATCACCGTATATTTTATTAAATAAAAATATAGTAAATATAAATTTGATACTGAGCCCATTTTGTAATAAGGCAAATGAAATATAATTGCTGACCTGCAGTCTCTAAAGAGAAAAACAAAACTTACGTTGACTATTTCTCTGTTGATCTACAGAATCCTGTGCAATGCAATTTTCACACCTTATAAGTTTTGGACCTTTTCTTTTAGGATTGTTATTTATTGGACCTCCGCATGTTATACACTTCTGGACCTTATCTATTATAACAGGTTTTGCTGAAAAATACATTAAATGTACATGTAAAATTGTTTATGAATTATTTAAAACATTTCAGTGTTTAAATATATGATAAAAACATCTGTTTTTAATCTCTGATGGGAGCTTTATAAAGCAAAAATTGGGTAGATTGCTTGGACATAATATATTTCTTCTCATTGAATTAAGCTATATATCTAACATAGTATATATACTTACTCTCTTGAATATGCACTTGATGTTGTGTCTGGTCAGCTGGGTCAGAAGATATAATTTGTATGTGTGGTGGCATTGTAACTTCATTAGCTGTACTGACACCTGTCGCCACCACAGTTATATTGTTATCTGGAACATAAGTATTTATCATTTATATTTTTCAATTGTGATAAATCATTGCAAATCACTAGAAGATAGCAGACTAGGCTCTACATTATAGATAGCCATATTAATAGAATTGTCTTTTTGTCTTTGGCATATAATTTTTTTAAGTTAAGTTAATCATATTAATGCAAGACCAAATGTGTGTCATATTTAGTACTTATTTCACTAAATAATAACTTTTTGTCATTTTCATACAAATATATATTTTTTAAATATGTTCATAACAACTTATGTATTCAATATATTGTTTAAGAAGTAAAATATGTGTTTCATGAAGTTGGCAAATCCATATTGTTCTAGTACTAGTTTACTACTCATTTGAAATATGGACTTAACCATTAAATACAGTGTAATGAGTCTCACCTGTGTCCTGGGCATGTATTCTTTTATGAGCATTAAGTAAAGTCAAATGTCCAAACATCAGACCACAGACATCACATTTAAAGCTTATATTGGATATAGTATTTTGAATACCATTCGGTGCAATTTGCATCTGATTAACTAATGCATAATTGTAGGAGAAAGGTTGAGCTATATAACATGTCTTGTCATCACTTGTTGTCAATTGCGCTATGTTTACTCCACCCGTAACCCCACCAGCACCAGTGGTCGTACCCGTGCCAATTTTTCCTATCATATTTACATTGGTTGTGTAACAAAATGTGGGAAATTCCTGAAAAAATATTATTCATATATCAAATAAGAAAAATTAAATTGCAAAAAATATTTACATTGTCAAGTTTTCTTACAAAGTCTTGTCTGGTTTTATTAAAACAGGTGCAATGGCAAATCTGTTACTAGACAACAGATTGAATAATGAAAATAAATGACAATGAACTAAATAATACTTTTACCTAATAAAAAAATTGTTGACAAATATACTTCAAAACAAAGAAAACTTCAATTATACACTTGCTCCATACTTCTATCTGCTCAGGTTACAATAGTTTAAAACAAATAAAACTTTACCTGTTGGGTTTGCTGTGTCTGTTGTGCGTTCTTTTGTTGTACATTTTCCATGTTTTTGCCTTGTGATTTTTGAGTTGGATGCTCTTGATACTGCAGAGTCGGAATACTGCCGGCTTGCACAGTATTCGTCGTGAACATCTTCTGTTATAATTTCATCACAAGGTTTATCTGAATCAAAATAGCGCAAAAGTACAATAAGTCAGCATAGCAGTACTATTGCGATATTTCCAACGAAATAACTTAACATTTTCAAAGAAAATTTAAAAGCGCGGCTAATTGTCCACACGAAAGAGAAACTCCAAAACATAAAGTGTGAAGGTAACGGGGGATATTTCTTATCAGTCTACTCTGCTCGTAAAAGATCATTCGTCGATGAAAGCAGTGTCTCTGTGAACAGCGTCGATATATGTAAGAAAAGGATGACGGACTATCTATAGACGCGCTTCAAGTAAACGACAGACGCCATTGTAATATTCATTTCTGTATTTGAGTGACAAAGTGCAACGTTTATCGAAACGTGTGATAATTCTATACACAAATGTGTCTCTTATGTCATACCTCTTATTGCAGTTTTATAAAATATGTTTCCAATTTGAAAGCGAATGTACCATATCAGAATTTAAATTATCTTTCTATCTCACTTTGAAATCTTCAATTCTCCATCTCACTAAATAAATGAAATGGCGATACAAAGAAAATGGCGGACTACTACCAGACTGCCATGTTGTCATCACGAAAAATTCATTAGTGTTGTCAGTGTAAAATAAGGAAATAAACCAGATGTTGAAACCTTTTAATGGAGTCCGGAACCGGAAACTATTTACTGCTGATCAATTAGCATTAATTATTTATAAAAATAATTTACAGAAATTATTTTATACATATTTTTAATTCCTACGATTAGCGTCTTTATAATACAAATAAATACCGACTCAGTGTTGTTTCATTTTTGAGTAGAATAGAAAAATACGCAGATACAATATAATACAATGCAGTTGCAATCCTATTTTCGTGTGCAATATCTGCAACGGCTTTGTAAATACATAATATAAAGAGACATCCTTAAGATTAGAATCCTTGTATTAAGGGAAAAAGTAACCAAAATTTAATTAGACGAAGATGTTGTAAATCTTGTAATCTTTAAGAAAAATTGGTTTTAATTAAAAACAGAGTGACTTCTTTGAATTTTGGGGGACAGATGTATTCAATTAAGTCACAACATTGAATAAAGAAGGGGACGAGGAAAAGTCAAAAATAATTTTACAATAAAATAGATATATATTTATTCTAGTTGATACATGTCACAGATCTCACTATCAGTATCATTATTTTAATCGCCAAAGGTTTTCATCAATTATTTAATTAAGTAGATATATTACCCATTTTTACCATGATGAAGGCCTTTTATTTTACTAAAACATACCTTATTTTACCTTGCCCCAGGTTTTCCATTTTTTGGTGCATTTCTGGCAAACCAGTTATTCTGCAGGATCTTTTTTATTCCTAGTGAAATACTCCAGAACTATGTTAGCATTGCCCTTTCCCTTTTTTTCTAAGGCATTTACTATTACATTTAATCTATTTCCCCAATTTTGGCAGGTATTCTTTTTAATTTTTTCAATAAGATTATGTTCAGGGCACCAGTAATTTTTTATCTCACCTTTCACAAGACAATCTCTAAGCTTTTTCAACATATAGATTACCAAAAACGACAATGATTTATTTCTCCACATGACCTCGTTTTCTGGAATAATTTCCCACAAAAATAAAGTTTTTATGTAGTAACTGGAGAGTTTTGTAAAACCCTGCACGTCACGTAAATGTTTTAAAATTCTCACAGTACTTTTTAAATTGTTTTTACTTCTTATCAGAAGCCGCTCTTGAATCGGAAATGTTAAACGCCAACTGAAATCATTCTGCGTTGGTTTTGGTACAACAAAATATTGTTGTATATTAGTAGCATTTACTTTGTTAAATAAAATCGATGAGTTAATTGGTTTCTTTGGTAATGTAATTGCAAAAGTTGGTACCAAGTCCACATCAATAACTGTATTATTGCATTTTATAATATTAATTGTATTAGCTGGTCCAGACCGTTTTGATTCAATGAAGTAACTGCTATTATTTATTTTTATAAATCTTTTTCCATCTTTCACAGGCAGTGTATTTAATGTTGTATCGACTACACTTTGTATCCACGAACGAAATTTTGTTACGGAAAAACGATGCTTGGTATCACACCACATTAAAGTCTTTAAAAAACCCTTAGTTGCTGTTACCTGAGTTTTAGCTAATCGTCTAAATTCTGATGGCAATATAATACAAGTATGCCCACACTCCGATTCTCTGGCATCCAAAATGATTTTATTATCATCAATCGGTATTCGTAATATAACATTTATGTCATATTCATTAGGATTCCCTACACGCAGGCCATCATAGTAACTACCTAAGTAGTCTAGTCTTGGATTCATACTGTCAAACAAGTTATCACAAGCACGCATTCTACTTATAATGTCCTCTAACACTGAATGTAATATAATGTTATTGCATTTTTTATCTCTGGCTTTCAGTCTTATGAACTGCCGATTGAGATCTTGCAACACCTCTTCCATTGTAGAATTATTATATTTCCTTTGTACTGCAACCACTCTGTAAATAATTGAATAAATATTCCATCAATTATATCAATGCAAAAATTTAGAGCATGGACAGATGTTTTTTAAAACGGTATCTATGGAATGGCTCAACGATTTTGATAAAACTTGTCAGGGATGTAGTAGATAGTCTGAAAGAACACATAGGCTAATTACGTTTTTTTTTAATTCCAAGCGGTTGGAGTCGCAGAACACAGGTAGGTTATAAATTAATATGCAAGAATTGTTTAGAGAAGATACTTGAAGAATACATAGCATAATTAAATCAGATCACATTGATGAAAAAGTAAAATCCTTTAATTATATACTAAAATACATCTGGTTGAAAATGGACGGTTGCTCACCTTTTTCCCATCACAAAAGTGTAATTATTAATAATATATATGAGGGTTGTTAGACTTCTTATTTCATATATTATTACACACAGTAACAAAAAAAATTACATGAGGTGTATGCAAAAGTGTTCAAAATATTATTATTTGTTTCAAAACAAACAAAATAATTTACAACAGTAATAACGAGAACAATACATTTGTTAACAACACACAGAATTGGGTACAACAGAACAGAGAGGTGCAAAAACACATTTTATACTGGACATAATGTGCCTTCATAAACTCGTAATTATATTTAGGGAAAGAACTTGGTATTTCATTGAGAAGGGGAATAACATGTAGTTACTACACATGTTGAAAGAGAGAAGCATTAAAGTTTTTCCCCTTCCATAGACTAACATTATTGTTTTCACAGTTACTATTGAGCTATTCAAACTTTATGGTAGCGCACAATAATTGCATGATATATACATGGAAAATCATTGGGTATTCAGAGATGTAAAGAGTGTAATCTATTGATAATAAGTATTTAAATAATTAACATCAAATAAATAAGTTGTAAAATGTCTTAAGAAACACATACCATGCCAAAAGATTTACTGTGATTGTTGTGACTTTAATTCAGGTTTTAATTCATTATCATCATACTTTTGTTTGTCTTTTTTAAATGTCTCCAAAGCTTCTTCTAAATTTTCAAATGAAACTGGTTCTATGCTCTCTGATTCATTTAATTGTTGTACTTTGTTCTCTATATTATCTGCCAAAAGGAATAAAAAATAAAATTAGTAGACAACATTAACTGTTTAAAAAATATTTATATTTATAAAGTTTAAAACAAACCTGAACCTTCTTTTGATGTAACATATGCATGTTCCATAGATAGAAGCTTATTAGTTTTGTATAAGTACTTTAAATTTTTCTCAGGTAGTTTATCAAACAATGGATCATCACAGTGTGGTGTTTGGTCTTCTTCAAAAAATAAATATGTTCCTAATGGGTTCTCAAAAGTTCCTACAATTTAAATAATATATTATAAATCAATAACTACATGAGGTGGCATTTTAGACATTTCTGATAGTAATTTATATGATATTTTTTATTATTCTTTATTTACTAAACACCACCATGCCATGTTTTTTTTAGCTATATTACATAGTTTTTACCTGTGAAGAAGGTATCATCCAGTTGTATAACTGGATTTTTTCTATCTATACCTAAGACATGTATGTTTTTGTATTTTTCAATATTTACTGTATCTTTAAACTCTGCATACACTAAAACTTCTTCCTCAGAATCCGAGGCAGATGTATTCATTATAAATTTGAAACCTAAATGTTACAAATATGATAAAACATACTATTCAAATTGTAAGTATATCCAAAAAGTATTAACTATAATACAGTGGAATATAAACTATAAAATAAATAGTCAACGATGGTAACGTATGTGATTATTGTATGGTTTCAGTTTTATTCAAGTTTAAAGCTTGAATAATAATTTTATCAGTTACAATGACATCTGACATCATATGTTATGATTAGGTTATGTCTATCAGTGTTGCCAATCAAATAGCACATAAAAAGCCAATGAAAAAAAAACTGTTCATCAAAATTTTTTACCAGCCGTGTACAGTGTTAAACATATTTTATATACTCTTTGGTGTTAAAAAAAGCCGTATTTATATGAAATTACAGTTGAAAAAATGAAACATTTTTTAAAATTCGATGAATAGCAGTGCAGTGTTTTAAAGTTTTCAACATTATTGAAAGCTTCGCAAATTGTCCCGCCTTATCTCATTAAAACTTTTTAAGCACCAATATTTTAGATAATGGGTCAGCGCTCCGAGTCGTCAAGATGCCTATTTAAATAGACTTCTACAGCCTGAACTAGGTAGAAAGGTAAGGAACTTTTCCCGATGTTACGGGGAGGTAGTAAATAAAATAACAATATATTATCTATATGACTTGTCAACTGGACAGAAGTTATCAGAACTTCAACCCTGTATTATTGTAGTAAATTTGGATTGGAACTCAAACTTACAGAACTAACCTTCCCCTCGTAGACTTGTAGTTGTAAATTGTTAAAAAAATCTCTTTCACAATGTTTCATAATCAAACAATGAGTTGCATGAATATGATATTATAAACTTTAATTTCACATGTAGGATCGATTACAATTACATATTAACGATGATATATTTATACACGAACTTTAATATATAAATAACTTTCTTTATTGCATATCACATCCATATCCAAGGAGCATTATCTACATATTTTTCAAAGTGGTAACATCACAGGCAGAACGTTCCAGAACCCCAAGAAAAATAAATGCTTACATCATATTTAACGTGATGTTACTAATTATTTGTAGTACAGAACACATTCAAAGGCAAAATGAGATAATTATTATGCAATAAACAAATCGGAGAAATGTCTTCGCCTCCCAGGGAATCCGTTATTTTTTTCCTCCAGGAGGCTGTAATGGTTGGCCTCTTTCTTTTCCTCGAAGTTTTATTCCAATTGCTCTTTCTATTTTTCCAAGTACCAAATTGTTTGGAATTCCTCGACCAGCTTCGTAATCATTCACAATTTGAGGTTTTTCACAAATTTTTGTAGCCAAATCTTTTTGACTCATACCTTTTGCTTGTCTTCCTTGCATTATCAGTTTTCCCAAATCGAGCGGTATTTTTTCATGTCGTAATTCTTCAGTTTCTCTATCAAGTTTAGCGGTATTTTTTGTTGTACCATGCTGTTTATTAGTACCTGCACCATATTTTTGTTGCGTGTCAACTGGTAAACCTTGACGACGTGCGGCGTTTACGGCTTGTTCAGTTTTAAGTGCGGACGCTTTTGGTGGTTTCTTTCGGAGAATCGTAACAGTATCCCAATCCGACATAGTTATTTTTTGTCCTTTAAAATCACTGGTTTTAAGACAGGTTACAATTCGAGACGACAGGCTTTTAATTTTAGTTGTGGAATGCAATGCATTAGTTATGGTATCAACTGCAAATCAAAGAGTAAACAGACGTTGCTACAGAATACAAACATCAAACTTGGAAACCTCGTTGCCACAAATGTTTTTAATCTACTCCACCCATAAATGACAATTCTAATCTATGACTAACATTTCATTATCTGTCAGTTGTCAGTCAATGTCATTATTCGTTTCCTTCAAAACTTCACAACAACTTTTCACATTTTAAAGTAATCACATTAAATGAAATAAAAACAGGCATCTAACGTATAAGTATTTTCGTGACATCCTTACTGAAATTCTTATCATTTTTATAAACATTTAACAGATCAATCAATCAATAAGTGAAAAGCTTACAATGTCGTTTAGTTTTGGTGCTAATACTTCACAGCAAAACACTCCTTTTGGAAGTGCCGCTAAACGTAAGGTTAAACGTCTTCAAATTGTTGCGTTACACAGTTTTTGTATAAATCTAATAGTTTTACTATTTTTTAGCAGCTTTTTCTTTTGGTAGCACTAATACAGCAACAACGAGCACTGCTGGATTCGGTGGTTTTGGTACAACTACTTCTTCGGCCGGATTTGGTGCATTTGGATCTACTGCAAGTAGTACAGGTCTGAAGTGAAGCCCTTAAATCACAGTTAATATGAAATATATTGTTACGTCTTGTAATGAATATGTTTTTAATACATCTACCCTACATTTAGTAAATAAGTGAATAGCATTTGGTGAAGATGTGAATTTCACAATATCGCAAATTGATTCTAAGACCTTAATAACTAAAAAATGTATAGATTAATGGATGGCAATTAATCACCATTCATTAGTCCATTAACTTTAAAGTTAAATTTATTGAGATTTTATTTGAATGTGATACTTTTGCAGCAGCACCATTTGGCACTCAACTAGGCACCACACCCGCATCAACTGCCCCATCCTTGTTTGGGACCACTGCTTTTGGTAGTACAGCTGCAAAACCAAGTACAGGTGAGATCTATTTTCCTCCAAGTGCATATTAACGATCTTAAGATTACCCATTGATTGTATTGCTGATACTTATTTGGATTGTAATTAATATTAAATCAACAAAAATGAGGAAACTTATGGGTACTCAATTTTAATTTTTACTTTTCTACAGATAGTAAGTACATTGTATTTATTATTAATGTCCATATGTATAATGCAATAGTTTAAATAAATAAACAATGTTTTTAGGTTTTGGTGCTGGTTTTGGCACTAACACATTTGGTACAGGTACCGCTTTTGGAACTGGTACATCAACATTTGGTAGTGCTGCACCCACATTTGGTACAAATACTTTGGGTGCAAACACATTTGGTACTTCAGCTAATACTGGGTCTACATTTGGCTCTGCTTTTGGAACCAAACCCGGTGTCTCTGGGTTTCTTGGTTTCGGTACTTCTCTAGGGGCCACAAATACATTTGGACAGCCACAGGTATGCTTATTATTATAGCTATTTATTTTTATAACAAAGAACTTAAATAAAACCATTTTTGTGGGTTAAAATGTAGCCTATGTCCTTTTTCAGACTTCCAATTATCTTTGTACCAAACTCTATTTAAAATGATTCAGTAGTTTTTGAATGAAAGCAAGGCAAACAGACTGACAGAGATACTTTATAATATTAGTAAGGATTTTAATGTCATAAATTCAAAACAAAAGATTATAATTGTTATTTTAGCAACAACAACAACAACAGCAGCAGCAACAACAACAGCAAGGGCCAGCAACAGCACATGAGGCGCTTGTTGCTGCAGTGTTCAACTGTTGTGTATTCGGAGACGAAAGGGACCAAGTGCTAGCCAAGTGGAACCTTTTGCAGGCACAATGGGGTGTTGGTAAGTTTTACCATATATATAGTGTAAACAAGCATCAAAATGTCTAATAATAGTTGATCCAGTGCCTTTGGACATCCACAATACCAGAAGAACTGCAAATTGTCAGTATTTTAGATCTTTTATTTCTAGAAAAGAACATAGTTTTCTAAGAGTGAAAAAAATCTTTTCAACAGTTTGGGTATTTTCGAATTATTTCATATAAAATATATTGAAGTCAATAGTTATTTGTTTAGTAAAGTAAAGATGCTATAAGTTTTTATAATGGGATGGACAGATATACATCTCTACTGTATAAAGATTTATGTATATTATAACACCCTTTGCTTATTTTACATTCTCCTTGCAATTAATTGCAGGTCAGGCGTATTATAACAAGAATGCACCGGCATTGGAATTGAATGAACAAAATCCACTCTGTCGCTTTAAAGCGGTGGGATATTCCAGACTGGCTGGTAAAGAAGATAAGGATGGACATGTCTCTATGTTGTTTAATAAATCGGATCAAGAGATCAAGTAAATATTGTCATTTTACGTACTTATTGTTTTAAATTTTGAAATTCGCAAATTCCAAAATGTTCGTAGTAAACATTTTTTAATTATAAACTCAACCTAGCTGTCGCCTGCAACTCCGCCCGGGTAGGATTATAAAATAGATTATAGACGATTCTTAGAACTACAAAACATTTATTTTTATATATAATATATTATTTCATAAAAATAGGTCAAGCCGCTTCAGAGGAGAATGGTAACTAACATTGTGACACGAGAATTTTATATAGATGTTTTCTAATAAAAATATAAAATATGTCACCGTAATAAATGGTTTTTATTTTGAAAAACATAGGAAATGGTTATTTAAGTGTTAGTGTGTTTATAATATGTTTTGTATATTTTTTTTTTGATATGAAATGTATTATATTAAAAATATGATAAATAAATGTATATGTTTATTGTTGTGTTTTTTTTTTCAGGAATAATCAGCAAGCATTTATAACAATGATATCTAATATACTTGGGAACAAACCTAATTTAGCTGTCAATGTGGAATCAATAAATACAGTCGCAGAGAATAAAACTCAGGTAACAACTTTTATTTAAATAGTTTTCATATTTTATACTATACTATTTTACTTCTACTGTTTTGTATTAAATCAAATTTAGCATTTATGAACTATGTAGCTGTCGCCTGCGACTCCGTCTGTGAGGAATTAAAAAGAAACTTAATCATTAGCCTATGCGTTCTTCCAGACTTTGTTCTACATTTGTGCCAAACTTCATCGAGATCTGTCCAGCCGTTCTGGAGATACCTTCAAACAAACCATCCATCGAAACTTTCGAATTTATAATATTAGTTAGATGTAGCTATCGCCCGCGACTCCGTCCGTGAGGAATTAAATATAAAAACTGAATAAGTAGTTAGTTCCGGAAAGGAACGGCTCATGGAGTTTACTTTCTAACTTGGATTCTACTTTCTAACAAACATCCATCCATCTAAACTTCCTCATTTATAATATTAGTAACAATAATGATTTTTTTTTGTTCTAGGTGGTGATATACGTGGTAGACAAGAATGTGGGCACTGCACATATTTCAGCGTCAGAATTGGCAGCATTTCTAAACAATGGGAACGCGCGCACAACTCTCACTTCCTCGGGCTGTGGTAACATCACACCGGCTACCAAACCCACACCGCAAATGTTGGAACAGTATCTACAGACTCCGCCACCCGGTATACTATATGTATATTACTAAGTCGCCCGTCACCGTCTGCGAGGAATTATATTCGCATTTATAATGATAGGACTACAACAGGAAACTATGGTGCCCATTATTATGCCTGCGTTTAGCTATTTTTAGACATTATTTTCATTACAACGTCAAGTGTCGGAATGATTAGTGAGTAGACATAAACGTCGTTTTAGTAAGGCTAATGTTGTGCCAGTACACCGGCACAGTGTCGGATTTTCTTCCCAACACTACCTTCTTGTAAAACCGTCAAAATTGAGCGTGGCAAACGCGGACAGACAGATAAAGATTCTAACTATTGGCTTTTCGTTTATTACATTTACATGATGTGTTTTTCATACAGACAGAAAATCAAATTTTATTCATATGTATGGGTATGTTTAATATGTTTTATTCTTTTTTATTTTAATCTACACTAATATTATAAAGCGGAAGAGTTTGTTTCTTTTAACGGGCTAATCTCAGGAACTACTGGTCCGATTTGAAAAATTCTTTTTTTGTTGGTTACTTCATTTATATAAGTCTTTGGGCTATATAACATTACACTGTGACCAATAGTTTTTTTTTAATTCCGCGCGGACGGAGTCGCGGTCGACAACTAGTAGTTTATAAGAAATTATATGTTTTTGTGAATTATTTCTTCATATTATTAAGTTTGATGATATTCATTTGTATTATTTTTATTTGCAGGTATGGACTTGCGACTGTGGAAACAAGCACAGGCTGATAATCCTGACCCAGAAAACTATATTCCAGTGCCTATGGTTGGATTTACTGAGGTAGCTTAATAACCTACTTCTTCGTTCTGTATTGTCATGTTTTATTTTAATATGAATAGCAATATGTTTATTACAAGTAGTACTAAAGTGAAAACTAACGATTCTCAAACTTTTTTGTCTTGCAGACTTTTTAAAATGTCATTAATTTTCGTGCTGCTATATTTCTTCAACTCCTCGACAATCCTTCATATTATTATAAGCATATTCAAATATTTTGACGGCTCTTGATTTTGTTCGAGTAGTTAAAACACAATTTTAGGTATAGTGTAGCGATCAAGGTCATCTGTGCGCTGCGCAGTGCCCTCCGTCCTGTAAGACACACCTAACACAACTGCGCATAGATTCGTACGAAGTTCAGAGGCGCTAAGATATTTGAAAACCTCTATACTTTTGTTTGTGATCTCCGTAGGGAACTGCTCAGGCTGATGATGATGATGATATACATTGTACGTGTAGATAAAGCACCGGGCGCGCTGCCAGGCGGAGCAGGGCGCGCTGCAGGCGAGCTGGCTGCGTCGTGCGGCCGACACGCTGGACGAGCTGCGCACGCGCCGCGCCGCCGCCGCCGCCACCCTCGCCCAGCTCGCCTCCCGTCTGCACTCCCTCAGGCATCTCCTGCTACAGGTACCAAAAACTACAACATTTTTAAATAAATTCCAGCTTGATACCTTATCGTGTTTTTAAGAAAAAGTGTCTTGACAGACGGACGGACAACAAAGTGATCCTATAAGGGTTCCGTATTTTTCCTATGAGGTACGGAACCCTAAAAATCATGATTCACTTTTTCTTCCATAACTATAATAATGCTGACAATTTTGCTGTTTCCTGAAGAGTTCTTAAATAGGGCAATAATAAATTAATATGTATATATTATCTTACGATATCGTTAAATATCGTTATGAAATTGCATTAGTGTATTATTTTCTTTTTAAATTGTTCTGGCCATATCTTCAAAGAAACATCCATCTTTGTAAACTTTAGCAATTATAATATAAGTAAGATGTATTTTGGAATGTGTATGTGTGTCAGGTGATAGGTAGGGAGGAGGTGTCGGGGTGGGTGGGATGTGCGCTGGGGCCGGAGGAGGAGGCGACGCGCGCGCGACTGCACGAGCTCTCCTCGCAGCTCGCCGCGCCACCACTGTTTAACGTAAATATACTATTATATTATTATACATCAAATGACGCATACAAATGTACTAAAATATCTAAAACACCAACTCGTTAGGAAAATCACGAAAGTTAAAAGTTTTAGTATTTTCATTTTATTTCCACTGCCACCATTGGTTAGGAGTTAAACGCTTAACTTGTGATCTTCAGGTCCTTGATTCGAATCCTGTTATGTACTAATGTGTTTTTCGATTTATATAATATGTACTTCCGATGTTCTTACGGTGAAACATCGTGATGCTACCACAAGAAGAAGAAATTCAAATATATGTGTGAAGTTAACCCGCAGTGGGCCAGTATGGTTGACTATGGCCTAATCAACCCTAACATAGGGTAGGAAGCGAGTTCAATAGGGACGTATAGTGAGCTGATGATGATAACTAAACACAAGACTGTTTCGACTTAGTAATTTTAATGTAAAAATTGCATTATTATTAAGTATTTATACTAAACTTGTAAAAATTTAAGTTTTTTTTGTAATTTGCTGTCATAATATCGATCTTTGTTATACGGCAAATAATTTTGTATAAGTTAAGTTAAAATTTTCCATCAATTAGCATTAACATAACGTAGACATTGTTGGTTACGAAATCTCTGAGGTGTTTTGATAATCTTATCTTATTAATTCGATGCACTACCTTTGTGCGTGATTGTTATCAATTTCTGTTATCGTGCATTATCTCCAGACGTAGTTATAGACGGGGCACTGCTTGTAGGGGATATGTAGCTGATACCTATTGTTGATAAAGTGCTAGTTTTTATATCCACTATATCCTGCATCAAGATGATTTCTTTTGTCTCTTTACTTTTAAAGATTGTAATGGATTTATTTCATACAATTTTGATAATATAGAGTTCGGTTTTACTTATATGATAGTTTGCTCTGATGTTTGCATTTTTTTTAATTATATTGGTACAGTTTATGTCGGAGGCAGTAAATATAAAAAAAAATAATAATGATTTTAGAATAATCTAGGATAGCATAGGGGGCTACTAGTTGTTAAGAAGGCTCTTATTTAAAAAAAATATTTGAAATAAAAATAAAGCGGAATAATTAAAAAAATGGTTCTACCTTACACTAAAATGTTTTGTGAAACTTGCAATTTTATTGCAGGAATAATTGTTTTAAAACATAGTTTTTGTTATTTTTTTAATGTAAATAATTCGCGTCATATTAATTACAATTTTATTCATGATTATTGCTTTAATAAAGTTTTTCTTGATATCATTTTAATGACACATAGGTTTGTGACTTTAGTGAATGTGGGATGTAGAGGAAGGGGAAATAACTACTTTCTGGGCGTCCCCTCGTATGTCTTTAAGGGAACTAACGGTCACTTCATTACTTTAGTTAACTTAGGTGCTAACCTACTCGTTTGACACACTATACCATAAAAAAAATTGTTGCAATTGAGGGCAATATCAAGGTGACGTATAGATGTCTAGACGGATCACTATCAGATAACAAATCTGCCGGATACCTAGTGATATAGGCATGAAAAGCACATTTCTCTGATACTATACTCGACCAAGGTGACCAATGATAGTATTTGTAATATATTTCGAGTGTTAGAAACTGCGCATGTTCATTGCGTGGTAAGTTCGACTTTGGACTTGAAATACCTTACGGCGCATAGGCATGGAATATTACTGTTGAATATGTTCATATCGATAAGCCTTTTGTATATCGAGAACAAACTGCAAAGTTATCTAGTAGTTAGGCAAAGATCGTGGTTATTTTGTATTGATGATCTTCAAAAAAGCATACAAAATAACGCAACTGATGTACTTTGTGCCGTAGCGCGATAGATTATAAAGTTTGCACCGATAATAAATTATCGACTCAATTACGTACAAGAACCGGCTAATTTTACGCAATTTTGAAAAATACAGTGTTAACTCCATATAACGTCATTTCATGTAACGTTGAAATCGTCAACGTCGCACACACTAACGTTTAAAGTTATAACGAGATTATAAAAAAAGTTGTCGGAATTTCTAAGAAATGTAGCTGAATACTTTCTTTTTTTGCCGTTTTGTTCTTTTATTATCAAACGGTTTTTCATCAAATGTTTTTGTACAACCATCACTACACATTGAGCGTAAACATGGCGAGTTAACGAAATTCTTTGTGTATTTACGTACGAGTAAATGTTTTAATAATACACTCAATGGAATGGGAGAAAAAAGTAATACAAATTTATTAAATACAAATAATTGTGGAATAGAAAAACAATATATTTTCGGCCGCTCGATATAACGTCCACTCTATATAAAGTCACAAAATGCTTTTCCCTTGAGCGACGTTATATAGAGTTTGAACTTTACTTTAATTATACCCCACCTAAAATATATGTGAGGTAAAAATCAATTAAAACGATGATTAGAATTTAAAAAGTTATGTAATTTCTTCATGATAGAGGTACTATCAGACGGCAAAGTAACGTCTGCTTAATAGCAGCGCTAATGCGCACGTCGCACGCAATCTTAATGTTATATCTCAAATTATTTCTTTATCTATGCGAACCAGTTTACACCAGTTGAGAACACACGTGAGCGTCTCACCTTTACAAGATACTAAAAATGCAATCGATATTAATATGACTTACGTGATATATTGAGGATTATTTTAAGTAAGGACTATCGCACTGGTGGTATTTATCGACACCTGACATGTACTAAATGTATGGACGTAAATGTATGGAACGAGAAGCTTTGACTGTGCCTAATGCTAGTCCTCTTTCCTTTACTATCATTTTTCTTATAAGTAAACGGATGTGGAAGAGGATATTCCGGATGTGGGGATGCATGGGAAGGGAAATATTCTCTTTCTGTGCATCTCCTCTCGGCGATTAAAGGGAGGCGACGCATCTGCAATTGCGTATGTCTTTGGGCAGCGGTAGCTTCGCTATTTCAGCGATTTCAGGTGGCCACTCTCTAGTTTGCCACCTTATGATGTAAAAAAATACTGATTTCTAAACTCTTATGTTTCGTGTAGTACCTTTCGTCAACGAGCATATGTGTAGACACATGTATATATATTTCTTTGCTGGCATGTCCAGGGCCGTCTGAACGAGTTGCTGTGTGCAGTGCGGTTGCAGCGCAGCGCCAGTGCTGGCGCGCCGCAGGAGCGCTACCATTTGGACCCAGGTAAGAATATTAGAAAGTCCCTCCTAATTGAAAAATATCTTTCGTGTTGCACAAAATTATTTAGGCTGTTTGAAAAACTTTGTGGTTTCGGCTAAGATGCTCAGACTCCACATCCAGTGGGTTAAGTTGTTTCGGCAGTGGAAATCCAAGTAGGATTTGTATAGTGGTTTATACAATGTAATGTACTAGGAGCGCAAGAAGACGTGAAGCAGTTCCTGACGATGCAGCAGCGCGGTATGGCTCACTTGATGGATACAGCGCGCAAGGACCTCGCTGCGCTTAACACCATCGCTGAAGGCATGGCGCGTCTCGTGCAGGCCTAGCGCTAACCCACACAAGTCCTAGGGACTATTTTCAATGTAAACTTCAATTTTGTAAGCAAATACGTTTAACGTTACATTTTAATTCCATTTTGACTTTGTCATAGTATAAGGCAGTTTCAAACCTACAAAAGATACGTAATCCGTACATACCCTTAACCAATAGGCTATTGCCACAAAAAATTATAAAGTTTTCGATAAAAGTTTAAAATAGAGTTATGATGTTTACAAGGTTTGCCGTTTCTAAGACAAAAATCTCCGTTTATAACACATTGTTTTGTCAAATATAATGACAGGGATTTTATGTTAATATGTTTTATAAAAGAAATTTAGGTCTCAGAAACCAACGTTTAGGCATTTTGAATAAGATATACGTATAAATAAGTCTCTAAGAAAATTTTAACTTGTGTTGCATGCATGCAATAAACGGTATTCAAATAATTTGTGTTTTATTTCAAAACTTTCTTCACAAATAATATTTAATTATATATTTCCATACATATGGAAACTAAAACAACACCAAGTTGATATTAACAGTGTAATTTTGGTAAAGATATGATATCTTTGACCACTCCACTAGTTTGAAAATGATCGTGAGAACAAATACTCCGATTGTTTGTGGAAAATTTCTATCTAATAGATTCAATCAAGATTTATCTTTGACATATGATAGTCAAAGATAAATCTTGATGTTCTGTGACAAGACAATGTTTCTAATTTTAGTATATTGTAGTTAAGGTGATGATTAAGAATCATGAATCACGAGAAAATTATCAATTTGTAATATATATTGGTAAAATTTCCGTGTTACAATTTGCAAATGGCTTTTTAGCCCATTTTAAAAAGAAGTAAGTTATCAATTCGCCTGTATTTTTTACACGAGAAGGTGGCAAACAGGCAAAAAGCTACTCCTCGCTATGTCAGCACATTGACCTCTGACCATCTCTGCAACAAGTTGCATATGCCTTACCTTGCTTACCTTAATGGATAGAGAGAATCTTCATACTTATCAAGTCCACTTCTTCCCATCCTTGCAATAATGGGGAGAAGAGGACGAGAAGTCGGCTACGAGTTAATCAAAACGCAAAAATACTTCCATTTTACACTTGTCTTCTGCTCGGTCGTGATGAAGCCGGTTTTATAGAAGTTGGGTTCCGGGCTCTACCGTTATTAGATTACATAACTATCCAAATAAATTCTAAATCTAGACTAGTAGCCCAAGTGTTTTTCCAGGTTATGTTCTACATATATACCAAATTTTAGTAAGATCCATTCTGCTGCTCTGGAGATACATTCTAACAAACATCCATCCATACATCCAAAGATTTGAATTTATATTGTTAGTAAGATTCACGCGAATGTAACCGGACTTCTGTAAACTACTAAAATTACTGTATATTTTTCTTTGTCAACGTTTTATGTATTAAAATTAGAATAGTTACTATATATCAGTGTCACAGTAACCAGTGGAAACGAGATTATATACAAGATGTATTAATGATGAACAAATTGACATTAGATAAGAAAGTATGGACCGGAAAGTCATGCCATGAATATTGTCTTCTTGATAAATATGTGCTGAATGTGGTGAACAGGAGTAAACATGTGCAAATATTTAACTGATAATTTCATTACGTTGTTAAAGCACCTTTATTTTATGTTGTAAATACTTTTCATGACTACGTGTTTTATTTAACATGGTTTGAAATTTACTTCCAACTTTCTGATATGATTCGTCGATAATCAACTAAACGAACGATTAACAGTGGTAGAGCCCGTTTTAACATCTTCGCACGAATTGGCCCGGCTCGCCCGGTGAAATACTACGACCACACAGAAGACAGGCGTCAAGTGGAAGCAATTCCGCGTTTCGTCTGATGGGTGTGCGTCCCGGAGGCCTAATTCAGTCCTCTTTCCTCCTCCTTTAGATGGGAAGTGGAAGTGGACTTTCCGGATGAGAGGATGCATGGGAAGGGAAAATATTTTCTTACTGTGCATCATCTCCTCCGTCGAGTAAAGGTAGGCAACGCATATGCAATTGCGTATGTCTATGGGCAACGGTCACTTCGCTATTTCAGCGATTTCAGGTGGCCGCTCGCTCGTTTGCTACCTTATGATATAAAAAAAAAGAAAATATTTCGCCTGAATAACGGCCATTATATAGATTAGAGGTCATGCGGTTTTCAATAGAAACATGATATAAGGTATTTTATAAATAAATAATTTATTTTTAAATATAATTTGTCATCAACTCTTTGTACTTAAATCTAAAGGTAAATCATTAAATGTGACTAGATCTTCAATGGGCTTGTAATCCATTCGCTTCGAGCAAATTAAATTCAAAGGCGCGTCTATATTTTTATAATCATCATTGATTTCTGTTCGCCTGGTACTTTCGGGTATACTTTGTTCATTATAATAAGACTTCTCGTTAACACTAGGACGAAGTACTGGATAATTTATATTCGAATAGTAATTTCTGTAAGCGTGTTCATACATTTGTGTATATTCTATGTAAGACATTTCGTTTTGCGGTACTCTTATTGGATAAATAGGTTCTAATGGCCGAACATACGTCACTTGTGGGTAACCCACTGTCGAAAGCTGTTGCTCTGGTATTTGTAGACTGTTATATGATAGTTTTGGTGATGATATGTTTTCATTATAGGTAAAACATCCTCGTAAAGGTGATACAGGCTCTATAAGGTAACAGTTGTCTTTGGTCGGTGAAAAACTTTCGTGTTGGCTTTCGTCAGATGAATCCCGTTTGTTTGTCTCTTCTGGGGCGAAATGTTTGTATGTTTTTACGTGTTTTCTTAAACTGGACGGATCTGTGTATCGCTTATTACATCCTGGTATTTTGCAGCAGTACGGCTTATCGACTGTATGCGTCCGTGTGTGTTTGAAGCGATCGCTCGAGTTTGAATACGCTTTGCCGCAACCCTGTTAACAATACAACGAATATATTTTTTTATAATAATTTTTATATATCGTAAAGTTACAATAAGGTCAAGATATTTAAGTAATTGAAAATAATGGTATAGTTTTTATGTTATAAATTGAGATTTTGCCATTCATTGTCGATTTTTTTAATGCTATAAACAACGTTATATATATCAGTATTTACCTCATAAGGACAGACGTAAGGTTTCTCTCCGGAGTGGGATCTGAGATGTATCTTCAGATTCTCGGCTCTGGAGAAGCATTTGTTGCATTGATTGCAAGTATGAGGTCGTTCGTTGGTGTGCGTACGGACATGCACTAGCATTTTATATCTGTAGACAAAGAAAAATACAATAAATTATGATGCAATATTAAACATGTAGTAGACATCACGGTATATGTTATAGTTTCTAATATAAATGCAAACTTTTCATATGTTTCTCGGTTCGGAACAAACACTTGCGTATTGTGCAAATATTTAGTACGTCTGGGAGGCTACATTGTCAAGCCTACTCGGTCAACATTCTTCATTAATTAAATAGACCATTCACCAAGGCGTATTTCAAATTTTAAAACAGATATACGCGTATTTTATAAATAAAAAAAAACTATAAAAATAGATTTTTTTTTAATTTTTAATACTAACAAAAATTAAAAGCATTGATTGATTTCTTGCGTGTTTTATTACATTTATAGTTAATATTTTAAAATTTACCTCGCATTAAATCCTCTTTGTGGTCTCGAGCATCCCTTCCAGCCGCAGTAGAAGAGTCCGTCGCGATGCGCGTGCGCGTGCGCGCGTGCGATGTGCGCGGACAGGCGGGCAACGCTGTGCAGCCGCGCGCCGCAGCCCCGCCACCCGCACACGCCCTCTGACTCTTCCACACTCTCGTTTGTGCCTCGTTCAGGTGAAGATCCACCCAGGGACTCTTCATCTTCCAGCTGATAAAGAAAATCATAAAATATGATATGATGATAAAAGATTTATTAAAGTTTTTTTTTACCAAAGAAGTTATACGTCTGATAATTTGTCGAGGTATTTCTAATATTCTATTAATTCTATCTATTTTTTTAAAACTTTAAACACATTTAAAAAAATCTTGTGTGTCTGCGCTTTTTTTAATCATAAAGAATTCACACCTGTGGCGGAAGTGGTGGCAACATCGGCCGTGCTAGGTATGGCGCGAACCTCTCCGCGGGCATCCATCGCGGCGCCCTGCAACCTTCCTGTATCTCCGGTCGCCATTGTGGGAACACTAACATTTTGACACTGATATATTGTTTTATTTTTTTTATTACCGGTCACTACGCGATCCGTGCGTGTAATGAAGGCGCGCGCTCGCATCGCCTACTTATAAAACGTCTCGGAGTGACATCGCACTGATAAGCAACTAGTGGTTAGTCCCCTGCGAACACCTCGACTTTATTTGTCCTAAAATTATTATTTTAATACTTTCATCACCTTTCTCTAAACAATAGAGCGAACACTTTTTATTTATTTGCATGTAATGTTGTTATTAAGATTTTTATATGCAATAGAGTTGATTTTCGCTTGGCAAAAATGTGTATCACCACACGGCTTGTTGTCGCATAATGTGGAAATGTTATCAGCAGCCGCCTGCCGCGGCCGGTGTCCGGTTATTACCGGTATGATAGGCCGCGGTTCAATAGGTGACTGATATGACTCTGTTTATGAAGAGACCTCATCTTTAGTCTGCCACAACTGTACCAACAGTTTATAGTTATATATTATGTAATAGTAACAATTAGTAATATTACAAAGAAAAGATAGGAGTTTGGAAATTTTATAGTGCATATTTCCGAAATATTTTCCATAAAAATACATGTATGTATGTATGTAAAAAGATAGGTAGAGATAAATGAGAATATTATGTTTTTAATAACAAGTTTGCTAGAGCAAATTCCCAATCGTATGTAGTTATTTTTTATTTAAGCTTAGAAAAAATACTAGTACGGCTTCGACATCATAACCTAACATTTCAACCTACTTCAGATTATTCATTTTCTTCTACTAATATTTATGAGTACTGTTGCCGACAGATACGGAACCTTTTTACAGGTTTTTTAATCATAATTGTTATGTTTTTGTATTTAGGACATATTATATTTTGTCTTCCTTTTTTTGTCTGTATTTAAAAATCAATGGTAAATAATCTTCTAACAGTGCGTGTTTATCGCTCCATTTGTTAATTCTATTTTATATTCTCATTTCGTCTTTTTATTTTATTATATAAATTCCAAAATTCATCTTAATTCAACCGCTCTTCCCATCCTCATATTTTCCGTCTTCTTTAAGTACTTTTAAAATCCTCCATGTTTTTATTTTTAAGAATATGTTATTGTTCATTGAGAGTAAGTTTAAACTAGTTTACCGTTATCAATAGGTCTAAAGTGCAATTCACAGACGACTGTCTTATTATTGCCACATTAGTTTAAATATATTTATAAACTGAATCTCTTCATTAATATAATACCATCATGTTACTATAATATGTTTAAAGCTTTTCGAATTGTCCGAAGAAAAAAGTAACACCTCTTAAGCGTTGTAAAGAAAGAAAAGACGATCATTATTTATGAAATGTCTGGGTTGTTTTGAATTACAACTTACATTGTAATATAATATGGGCTCGTTACAGCTTTATTTGCTACCTGAAGAAAATCTATTAATCCGGATTAGAAGAACGGCTTTGGAAGCCCATCATGAACTCAGGGTTGGGCAGTCTAAAATAATATGTACTCCTGCACTAGCAAATAATACCCGTGGTCTTACCTCAGCTATTTTTTTCATACAAAAAGGCACATCCTGTAGCATCCTGTATCTGTATTTATAATTCTTTTTGCTCAACTACTTACACCACGAAATCTAGAGAATTTCGGGGCAGGATGGGACTTACCCTAACGTAACCGTACCATGAAAACATGTGATATTTATATATAGCAGCGTAAATAGCATTTCCCCGAAAGGGATTTAAAAAGAGGGGTTTTTGGCAGTAGAAATCTTCGGTTAGTTGTTCAATTTGTCTCACACCTTCAAACAAATAGTGTAAAATTGTGTGTCATTGCGTTATATTAATTTATATTGTGTCATTCTGAGACGAGAAACGTTATCAGTGTGGTTGTGCGAGTGTGTGCACTGCGCGTACGTGTGCGTCTGTCGGCCCCCTGCGGCCGGCGCGCTCACCACTTTTATCCGGTTCTCTTATCACTGAGCGAGTTATAGTCGACTCAGTTCTGCCTTCTTTGTTGAAATATTATATGTATAATTTAACTAGCTTCCCGTGCGGATTCATTCGCATTAAATTTTGTTACACTGAAAACTTTATTTTAATGGTCACATTGCGTAAAACTTTCACTTGCAAATGTCAAAATTCAAATGCCGAAATGACAACGATGGCCATCGTCATTGGCTGAGAAATACCGTTACCATGGCAACCATCCTTCTTTGCTGCTATTGGCTTGATTTTTTTTGTCCCTTTCTCGCATAACAATTATTAAAAATTTACTATGTTTGATGGCGTGAAAATATTTAGCCTTAAGTAATAGGGGTTTTTATTACAGAATTAATCAAAATTGAGATTGCTACGATCCTGCCTTATATAGAAGTTGTTTTTATAATCATGATCATAATTCGTCTCATACATCGACGTGATTCAATATGCTATAAACGCTATAAAGTCACGAAGTCTAAGTTCATAGAAAATATAAATTTCATGTAACTTTTTAAATATTATTATAATTACTAATGTATGTGGGCTTGGTAAGACCACGTAGAGAGCGATAGCCGACCCCCTGTCACACGTAAGGACGAATGAGTTCGATAAAACTACGTCGATCGCTATCTCCACACCCGGAATAGATTAAAAAGACGTGACAGATTACACAGAACGAGAATTATAAATTTTAGGCTTTTATACCTTTATCAAGATATAACATTACCATACAATTAGTCTTGCGTATAACAGATTTGTTGCGTTTGAGCAGTGAATTTATTGCAATTTCCGATGCGGATTCCAGGATTATATATTGACTTAACTTTTACTAGGGTCGATTAGTATTAAGGCAAAAAAAAAGATTATCACTATCAAGTTGTCGAAAAACATAGGCGGTCTTCAATCACCGTACATTACTTAAGAAAAGAAAGGAGAAACTCCCCTCTATCCTTATGTTTATTTGCCACGATCGAGTAAATCTCAAAATCCCCGCTTTACCTCACTTAAGGAATATCTTAATTAATGCGTTGTTTATTTTACAAACGTTGCGTGTGGTACCGTATCATGAAAACATATTGTTCTCTTTGTTTTCTTTTTAAATATACAGAAATTTCTGTCATACAAATATGTTTTTTACTTGTTTCGACAGTTAAAACTGACGATAAACATAATAGAAAACGAAGAATGGAGTTGATTTTTCTACGTTAAATTATTTAATGTTACACACAAAACTATCTAATACGAGTCTTTAGACTTAGGTAATTAAGTTAGAGATGTTTTTAAACAAGTTCAATGGAAACTTGTAGTAAAAACTGTCGGTGTATAGTCGGTGGATCGCGACAAGTCGGAGCGCAGTCGACTAGATGCAACTGGTTATCACTTAGTTTGCGATTCAAGCGAATATAGCTGGATATCATCAAATATACCAGATATACCCGATAAAAACTACTGATTGTTACATATTTTTATTTATCAGGTGATATAAAGCGTAACCAACCAGCAAAATTTCATTGTACAATGCGTCTCACATATATTTGTTCAACATATTTTGACAAGACAATACAAACAAATAAAGCCTTTGATAATTTGAATTAACATGTTTAAGGTAAAACCTTTCAGCTCGTATGTAAACTGCTAAAAGTGAAAAAATCAAACTTTACAAGGGATCAGTTTTAATGTGCCGAAACTGATTTTTATAACTTACACTGTTTTTTACAATCATTATAAAAATTTGCAATAAATATTTAAATGCAATGTTATTTAGATAGAAGTTATTATAATATTAACATGTTTTATTATAATAATCACGCGACTGCAGTTATTTCGATAAATAATCGCCAAATACTGAGTACAATTAGCGAAGTGGTACATACACTTCCAAGAGGTCATCACCGTATTTGACACAATCGTTCGTTTGGGCTTTATTGTGCAGATTCCAATTTGTGCTACAATAAATTGCAGAAAAATAATACCATTGTAATAATTGGAAAAATGCTTAGATTACAGCTCCGTCCCTATGCGTAGGAGCTTGGCTCCGGAGGGAGACCTCGACTCCAATACGGTATCAATAAAAAAGTAACAGCCCGAGCCGAGGCTCCTGAGGGAGCCCTCGAGTCTTGTTACTCTTAAACGAGGTTCAGGCTAAGCGCCATCTGCGCTCGGCCACCTCAAGCCTGGTGAAGCTGTAAATGCCTGTTCAAGGCAGTGACTACTCAGTCACAAAAAAAACGTAGGAGCCATCGATTTTTTTAAATTACTACAAGAATAAATAAACATAAGATCTCTCCAGATGGCATGAGAGTGCGGTCAAAGCCTTTCTATTTAAGGTCATTATGAATTTAATTGAGAAAGCTAAAATCCTATACATGATATAAATCAGTAAGTAAAGTTATTCATTTTTCTTCAGGTTTCATTGGCAATTTTTTTGCAAAAATATTTGCGAAACAATAATATAATCACGCATATACAGCGTGTCTAAAGTGACGTTCGGCCAGACAGGGTTATGAACCTTATCTCTTATCAACTATCATTATCGGCAGAACGTACAACATTGTCTGGCGAAAACTTCCCAAAATAAACATACTAAGCATTTTTATGGCAGACACCAAGCAAGAATAATTTGGTTTATAATTAATTCATCGCAATACGTATTTTAACCTTTATACGTGTTTACTTTGGTTGTATTTTCCCGCTGAAAAATCGACTCTACGCATAGGAGTGGTGACTAGGCTACAACCACGTTGGGTAATCGTTGGTCCTGTATAGTTATCGTCGTCCTGTCATTGCCTATAATGTCAAAGATAACGATATGTTTGACACAGAAATTTTGGTTTCAGAAGCCAACGGTAAGTGTGTTTATTCGACTTAACACAGATGTTTGATTTTATTTGCAGATTTCTATAACACACAGGCTATCTTTTTTTAATACCACCCGAACGGAGTCGTAGGCGAACGCTAGTATGTATATAGTTCTTAACTTTTTTATGAATGATACAAATAGTCACGTCGTTAATACGTGAAAGTCAACAGAGCAAGAATTAAACATATCTATGATAAGGCATAAAAGAAATTGAGAATCGAATTTAATCTTGTACTTTGTGACACAAGATAAAGTGAAGCATCTATTGCTTGATAAAACTAACAGTAAGCTTCCACTGTTCAAACATAAGTACAAAAATATAAAGTAGTCACATACTGATGTTAAAAGGAAAATTATTTGTGTTTTAATATTGTAGTTTGATTTGATACTACTGCACAAAATTATTTCACTTTTTGAAAGCTACACTATTCCCAGGTTACATAGGTTGTATTTATTACTATAATAGATTTTTTTAATTCCGCGCACCCGAAGTATGCCACTGCTAGTATTATTATAAAAGGCAATAAAATTCCAATGATTGAGGAAATGGTAGAAAGTTATTTTAAATTGAGAAGCAAAAAGCTGGCAGGTAATCGAACCAAAACTAAAATAATGCAGGTTGAACAGTTAGCTTCCCACTTTTTTTTAATATATGAAAAAGTCCACTTCACCAGATATTCCATGTCTCTTCTGAAGATAATGAAAATTAATTCTTCTTTCTTACAAATTAAAAAAAAAACAAAACTTACCATTACTTTTATTCCCAAACGAATTCTCACAATTTGAGTGAATTTTCTTTGTGGTTATTAATATTTATTTGTGTAGCTGCACCGACGGCATCTAGCAGACCACTGTGACGTAGTGCTTCCCGCCAAAACATCATGGCGGCTTCGATTCGACCACACGCGAACTACGCCAAAATAAAAACTCAGAAATAGCCGACGCGATTATACCGCAGCGAAATTAAAATAGGAATACGTTGCGTCCGAGTGACGTTTGTAAATCTGCGTTCCCCCCAACAGAGCTCACCTAGCCACGACAGGTTTGGAACAGAGGCAATCTGGGTTTTGTTCGGAATGTCAAGACTTTTTTGCTATCCAAGTTATGGGCAATAACGACAACTTTTCTATTTATTGAAATAAAATTAGCCAACTTATTTCTATCTGGAGATATATTAGATAATTTGTAAAAGGAAGTTCTTTTTTAAAAAAAAAAACATTCCTCCTCTCTACCTGAATAAAGAGTAAAGCTCCCACTCCATTAATGGAGCTCGTATGAATATCAGGCCTTAGGTCATGGGTCGCATCCAACGATTGTTGACATTTAAAGACCACGTGGTTCATGATTCAAATCTTTTACTTGGGTTCTATAGATATCGGTTTGAAAAAAAAAACAATGATTGTAGAAGACAATTATTTATTTCTTACATTAATTGCAATTTCAATATTCCAAAAGTAATAATATCTATATTTGACAGAGGTATTGTACGGTTCTCGATTAATAATACATTGCGATAGTATAGATCACTCTGCGATGGACGTATTTTTTGAACACAGTTACAGAAAATTTTTGTGCACAATTTTGTACGAACTTGTAAAATTTCACAATGAACACGTGAGAATCTCCTATTTCTATCAAAATATAAAAGATCCATTTTAACAGTTGTGATAACGATGTTATTTCATACATGTTGAATCGATTTATTGCGATAAATTCTTAATGTTTTTTTAAAGATTTTGACAGCTGTCAAAATGGACCTTTTATTTTGTGAACACTCATAAAAGTTTGTCGGTAATATTTCGTATTTATGCTAAATAGTTAAGTACAAAACATCGGGACTTGTAAAAATCTTTGGACATTTTAACTAGAGTAAACGTAACAGGAGAAACTTGGTGTGATATCAAACAAAAAAGAACATTTTAAGTACAGATTACAAAAAATTTCGATGTTCGAACACATTCGTCGTATACTTAAGTACGAATACTAAATTGAGCTACAAAATTATCACACGATTTACTTAATATAGGTAATAAGTAGTCGTGAAGACAAAACCCTAATAATAAATAAAAAAAAATAATTTGATTATATTATAACCTAAAAATATAAAATGCAGAAGCAAGAACACAAGGCAAAAAATAATAATAAGGTATGTTTAAGTAACAAGTTGAATATAATAACTCGCAGAAAAACTCACGTCGCTAATTGCTATTTAATTCCACCAACAGTCACTACCCGCGGACTAATTAATTCACATACAATGTCATTAAATTAAGTAAAACTCGACGACTAAATGTGTTGCCATGCTATTGTATTATTTTAATCACATCAAATGAAACTTTTTAGATTAAAGATAGCAACACAAATATACCAAATGTTTGATCCAGAAATCAAAATTGTAGCAAAAGAAAAGTCAATTAGTTTCTTTTTAAAATTATGTTAAAAATTACAGTTTGTGCTATTTAATGTGGCCAGGGAGTATATTCATAATTAGTCAAAATTAAATAACAACAGAAATATTAAGTTCTAACAAAAATTGCGCTAAGCAAATCCTTCACTAAAATATAAATTTCACAAAACATTTTGTGAAATGCCAATTAGGAATGATAGTTTTTAATCTCGTACCAACATGAACATGGTTATAGGTTAGTAACAAATGGGCAAATTGGTCACCTTTTACGAGACCAATATGTTGCCAGTTGTAAGAAAGAGACGGCGACATAAAAAGTAGAATGTGGGAATGGGATGGTGTACCGATATTTAGTATTTCAATAATTCTGTTAAAAGGCAAGAATTTTAAATACGGAATACACCAAGAGAGCCACCTCAGTATGAATATAATTACTATATTTATTAATTATAAAATCGTTATTTATAAAATCTCTTTTTATTCTATGGAAGCATCTTTTTATTTTTTTTAAATACACAGCTTTTATAAAAGTATTGTCGATTTGCCATGTAATATTTTGTAAAGCAGTCTTATGAGAATTTCACTACAAAAAGTAAAAATGCCTTTAGTTAAAAAAAAAAATTCTCTGAACTTTATATTTGGTGATGATCTGTTAAACTTTTTTATTATTTAAGCTTTTATCTATATGGAAACGGACAAATATAGTTTTTAATAATATTTTTATTAAAGCTGTACTTTTTAATACGACTTATTTGATATTTGCATTATTGACGTCTGTAAGAATTGCGAATTTATTTTTGTAAGATAATGGCCAATTTTTTTCTTCCTTTATTAAGATTTAGTTTGAATGTATTGTACCTATATAATGGGACTAAAAATATATAAGTAGATAGTTATTTAATACAATTGACGCAGTTTACTTAGAATACCTAACGGAAACTATTGAATTGATCAATTGACATTTTATCGAAGTACCTACACATTTTTTTACCAAATCACTTAGTTTTATTTTTATATTTGATGTCATTTATAACGTCTTTTCACAAATACCGTTTACATCTGTAGTAACTTTAAAACTGACATTGAATTTTATGATTAAAAAACATATTGGTCATGGATATTGCCTGACATGTAACAAAATTACTGGAGTTCCAAAATAGTTGCGATTTTTATTTAATTCAAAATTAAAACTTTAATACAAGAAAGGTTTTTTATTCGTAGTGTAAATTGGTTCTTTAAAAAAAATGTCAGTTTCAAAGCAGCCAATCGTTAGCCGATAGTCAATGCGTGGTGTGTCGGCGGGAGAGGGCGGTGTGGTGGTACTCCTTGGTGCCGTGCTCCCGTGCTAGTCACGCATACGTCTCCCTGAAGCGCTTCTGCAGGTGATGGGCGGCGTTGAGCAGACGGTGGTGCAGGGTCAGGTGCGGGGTAAAGACGGGCGGGGGAGGGGCAGGGGCTAGGATGGGAAGCTGCGGGAACTTGGGCAGGGTGGCGTTGTCGTCGGGGTGGCAGAAGAAGGCGACACAGTGTCGGGCGCGGGCGCGCGCGTACGCCCCCGAGGGCACGACGACGCGGTGCAACAGCGCCGGCAGCAGGTTGGTGGTCCAGGAGGCGAGCAGCTCGCCCGTCTGCACCAGGATCGCGCCGGGCAGGTGACCTACGGCCTGCCATTTCTCACTACCGTGCAGTTTTACCTGTAAATCAGAACAGAAAATGTTTTTATATTTAAATAATCTAGCATGTATGTATGTATATATCTCAGAATATTTTGAGCTACCATATGTATAGGAAGGCTATTTCTTAATTCGATGAGCACGTAAAAGTGACATAAGTGTGCTTTTCCTGGTATGTATACAATGTCATTGCAGACTGACCTCAAGGCCGCCCTCAGAATCCTGTGCGAGCAGGGTGAAGGTGCAGCAGTCCGCGTGCGCGCCGCAACGCGTGTACGCGGCGTGGTGCTCGTGGCGCGCGTCGTCCTCCGGCGGCACGGGCGGGTAATACAGCAGCCTCATACTGGACGCGTTACCGCCCTCGCTACGCAACATGCCCGCATGGCAACCCAGTAGTGTCGCAGGCGGCAACCCTGATCAACGACAATATTAATAATATTGACAAACGTACAAATTATACACCGATAAGGCTATCTGAACCGATGGGCATTAATCAAACTAAATTATAACAGCTCACTAGCGCCCCCCTGTCAACGTCAAAATTGTTACAAAATTCTCTTTGTCCTGAAGCCATCATGTTATTTTAATATTTTATGTCATTTTGGGCGCCTTTCTCAGTTCCAGGTTCAGATATTCTTGTTTGACTATTATAGTAATTGCAGTATAAATACTACTCCTACAGTTTTATATATTATCTAGTTATTATAACAAAAATATTGAAAACGATGAAGATTACACAAACAATTTTTTGTCTATATAATAAAGTCGGCACACGGCACATACATGTACAAAAGTATAATAATATGAAGAAAAAAATAAACAAGTTTTTCATATAATTGTTTTAAATAAGCGTAGTTGAAACATTAATAATGATAATATTGTACGAAGTCAAGTTTAAAGTAAAAAGTTAACGAAAACCTGAATCATTTGAATGAATCACTGAATACTTGAGAGAATGATTTCTCATACGGTTTGAAAAGCGAATAGTAATAAGTCAATGAGTCACACAAGTGATATAAAATGTTTTGTTGATATTTACAATGTGTTGAAAACAAATAAAGATTATTGTTGTTTAAGACCTCTCGTATTTTCTTGTAATTAACAACTATGTATATTTATCGTAAGTTTTATATATATTTTATATTAATTTTTATGTTATGTAAATTGATTTTAATGAAAATATTTATCGTGCGGATTTCATTAAATCATAAATGCGTTATTGGTGCGAAATTTTTTTGCACCTAATATTTGTCTTAAACTGTTTCTGATAATTAATATGTTATCCGAATGACCGTTTGATTTTCTTGATCTGTGTTAAAAACTTTTGACAAATAACCTAACCTAAATTAAGAAAAAAAACCTGCGGCTGTAATAAATAAAATAACGACATCTATTGAATGCATTTTAAAACTATGTTTTAATTTAACTTTAACTTAAAAACTTAAATTTTATTAATAACCTATAATGTCTCACTTTTTATTGTAAAACATGGAAAAATGATTGAGCAATAAAAAATAAAAAGTTACTGCTATCCAGATTCGAACTCGTTACTATCTCGCATACGCATATGATCGACTATTGAACATGTTCTTGTGTGTGAAATAATATTGAGTTTATAAAGATATGCTCACCGAATGCATACGCAAGCGCTTGCAGCAGCACACGCGACAAGTTGGTGAGGTCGTGCGCGAGCGGTACTGCGTGCTGCGGGAACTGCGGCACGTCCTCCTGCGCGGGGAACGCTGCAGCCGACAGCGATGTTATGTTGTACGAATGACGTAACTCCTGACGACAAACACATTGCAAGATGTAACAAAAGACGACACAAAGAAAACACACGCACAAATAGACAGGGCACCACGAAATCCACAATATGATAGGTAGGTAAGACCAAATTTGAATCTCTGCTTGAAAACAAAATACACTAAGCAGTTTACCTTCTACAATAGTATGGTTTAATTCAACTTAGTAAGATAACTTGGCTTATGTTTTTCTTTTCAAAGATAGTAAGATATACCTAATTAATTCAGACTAGATGTAAAAGCTAGTCGGACGTCTAAAATAAGTAGAAAATACGTGCATACTCAAAAGAACTTGTGTGATCTCGGAGATATTTAATTGTATCTCTTACAATGAATTGCATACACCTGGTAATAACAAAGTTGCTTGCATTTTAATAATGTCGCATATTAATACAATATCTTTCAATCTAATATTTATTATTCTAACAATGATCTATTTTATATCCATAATTTTATTATCAACACAATTTATATAAGAATAATCTACATATGTGAACGTTTGTAGTCAAAAAGTATATATTTATGAATAATTTATCAAGTAATCAATATGAACTTTCATAGGCTCTATAATAAACATATTCTTATACGGCAGAAATCATTACTCGATTCTTGATATCCAGAACAATATTATTGTAATAATTACTTTGTATCAATTGGAATACATTAATTATTTTTGCTTGTTTGCTTGTTTTCTTGCTTGCTCTAATGCTTTTTATAGCAAATGAGCAATTTTACATCATGATTTTAGGTATACTATTGTGATCGGTTTTGAACTCATTTTCAATGAAAAATTCCGCGGACAAGTGAAATCAGATTGATTATTAAGTTCGACAGTTTAAAGAAATTATTTGCTTATTAAAATATATGAATAGATCGAGTTGGCAACTGTGCGAGTTATCTGGACTGGTTCCATAGGGTGTCAGAGGTATCAGCTAAAAGTAGATGTGACTACAGACCAGTTTGTGAAATGCTTCGTTCTCTGATCACTTATCTAGAACTTTTAGTGCTGAACGTTGTTTCCAGTTCTTATCTATGTTTATACCAAACAGGATGTCGAAAGACCCGAGTTAGCAACATTGCAAGTTAAATTAGACTCGTCTTGGCATGCATTTAGCATACAAGTTGGTCGCCTTCTTTTTATTTTAATTGCAACTTTTTGCGCAGTTATTTTCAGCCAGGAATTGTTAAATACATTCTTTTTGCTGTGGTATAATACAATTTTATATTACACTTTAAACGTTATCTATGAAGAAATAATTAAATTCGTAATACAAGCAATAAATAGTTTTCAACGGGGGAGATATTTTTTTTATCTTTGTCAGCCAGATTCATTGGTAAATCTCTCGTATAACTGAATCTTTTATAATACTTTCCAACCACGTTAGAGTTTTAAGTGTAACCTTCAAAATGCGTTAGTAATGACGGTAATACCTTCTTCGTGCTTTGGAATTGTTACCTGCTTAGTAGTATCGAACTGCTCCATCCCTGGTCGGACATAACCGTGGTTGCTGACGGGGTTGCGCAGGTACTGGGCCCTGCAACCCTCAGGCAGCGCGCATAGGTTGTCCAAGTCCGCATACACGGCCTTTAACTGAAATGCAACAGAAAAAAAAAGGATTAACAAACATATTGTCATCCCGTTTCTTCACTTCAAAAAAACAGAAATAACTATATGTTGTATAGGTTTTTTGACAATGAAAGGAATAAAAATAGTTTACGTTGTTTTTTGCAATTAGGGTAGTACGTGGTGTTACAAATAAGGGTTTTCCCTTCCCTTTTACGGTTTGTCACAAGTAGGTCAACGACCTTATTCGTCATCGTGACTCAGTCAATTTAAATGATAATATTTTTTTTACCAACTGAAATATTTCTTCAAAAAACTGGTATTTTATTATTCATGTCGCAACAAGTTTGATATCATTGTAACCATAATAAAGACTCGACTGTTATCTACATTTTACTTTAATATACCTATCAATATATTATTAAAATAAATTAAAAAGCTATTTTGAACAATAACCAAAGAAATTATGTTTCCAACTTGTTTTTGGCGCGTAAATAGTTTCAATATATTACTCTATTTTTTCTTTCGAAGTTTAATGGTGAGCTGGTGGACTGATGTTGCCCGATTTTGCAGAAGCGTAGAAGGATTAGCTGCCGAAATACTAGCTCCAAAGTTGGTATATGATAATGCCCTTATTGGCTTTGGAAGCAGAATTAGAATATTTGTTGTTGCTGCAAACTGCTGAAGTTTAAGTGTTCTAAATTTAAACCCACCTTATCATCAGCGATACCATGGTTGACAAGCATGGCGAGTCCTTTGCCGCTGAGCGCCGCGAACAGTTGTTGCCCGATGCGGCGCACCACAGACTTCATGGGACATCCATCGGTGCCTGCAACTGCAAACAATACATACTTATATTCACTGATAAATCAACAAAAATATGCATAGACAACAATAATCGACATTTTTTTTTTAAATATTAGCAGATTCATTTGTAAATTTACTAATATTTCTTTAACCATTCCAACTAAGCTCTAGGCTTGTGCTAGGATATGGTTTACGACAATAGTCGAATGGCGGGATTCGAACCCCCGACCTCGTGGTCGGAAATCCGTACCCTTAACCATTAGGCTATTGACGCTTTAAATAGCGTATATATAGCGATAGAAAAATATTAGAATAGTTTTTCCCAGACAATGGCCCGAAGAACTTAATTTTTGATTGAAGAATTAGAAAAGATGAGGAAAAGATTGAGAAATTGTGAAATTACAGTGACAGAATTAGGATTTTCATAAGGTTTTACCCGTAGACAATTAGTTAGTCAATGCTTCAAGGCAATCTACGAATGCGTTTGGATCACCAAGTACAAACAGTACAAATACATACATGAATAAAATATGTATTCCTTACGTATGTATGTATGTTTGTACGTTAATCGTTAGCTGAAGGTCTGACCGTGACACGGTTCTGTGACAAATGTATTCCGCTGCCGGTACCCGCAAGTCATTTCAAAATTGTTGTTTCTTTTTTGCAACGCTTCGCAACTACGTCCAAGGCAAATGTAAACAGTGGATGTACGCATGTTTGTTTAGCTGTTACATGAACAAAACATACTTAATATAACTGATGTTTTTAGCAATATGAAAACGTCAAGTAATGAATTTTCTCTTTTCTCATTACAAGATGATAAGACAGATTTTAATAGTCTAATGGTTTGATAAGGAGCTTAGTAATACATTCTTTCCTATGGTAATCTTACATCTTACTTCTTTCTGAAATTATTAATACGAATGTTTAGATGTTTGTTTGAAGATATCTCCAAAACGTCTGCATGGATTTAGCTGAAATTTGGCATAGACGTAGAACATAGCTTTTAGTTACTAATTAAGTTTATTTAAATACGACGAGGCCGGAGTCGCGGGTGACGCTTAGTATATTGTAATTCATTGTATTGAAGAATTAGCCGCCAAACTCGGATTTGTTGTTTTAAACCAATGATAAACATAGCCTGTGTTTACTCATTTTACAATACGTTTAAATCAAAACGCTGTAATGACTACATACCACTTTGGAACAGAAATACGCGGTTATTTTTGGCTCAAGGGTTAATACCCTTACTATATTAAGGTCCACATAGAAGACAGCATGATCTTAATCTTACTTTAATCACTTAATGCCGTACTTAGAGTCGTTATGTGATCACTAAGTGTAAGTTAAATAGAAAAAAAAACACTTTGTGTACATTATATATTTGCGTTACTCAATTAAATGATTACGTTACTTTATTAATGAATTATTTTTTAAAATTTCTATCTGTCTTTTTACAAATGCTGGTTTTGTTCGTTTGCCGGGACTTTTACAGGAAGGTAGGTGATTTGAGCAGGAGTAACTGAGACTATGTTTTTTTTTATTTTTATTTTCGTTTACGTCGCGGATAACTAGCAGTTTATAAAAATATAGACACACCGTGAATGTGGCCGTTAAACTTTCACTAAACAATAATCATTGTTTTTTTTTTAATTATGTAACTATATTTGTATTATTTCAGAATAACTTTCATGACATAGCTGTGAATGTCTGTTGAAAGTTAACACTGAACAATAATGTACAATCGCCACTCACTTTTGTCTGTATCGGTTTCATGAGGTTAAAGGACGGTAGCGTACAGCCGCGAAAGCGAAGCGAAAGATATGAAACCGAAGCGAAAATGGAACGCAGAGTTTAGATAGAACTATTACATAGGTTTGTTTTCGTATTAATTTAGTTGCTGGTTTCATTGAAACAAATGAAATACCATACCAAATTAATAACAAAATTGGGTTCACTCCGGTACGCTTTAAGTACAGTGTAGAGGAGGCCTTACATAAAGGCAAAAAACTGCTCATTTACAATTTTTACGTAGTATAAAAGACAAAAAAAATAGACGGTGCTTTTTCTCTGATCCTTTAATATGTATGTAATGTAAATAGTTTTAAATACTAAAAACAAACATTTAGTTTCGAAAGCAAATAGAAACTCGAAATTGTCGAGTCGATAACAAAGAACCAGTTGTTGCCTTGTAGTTTCTTGTTGCTGACGTCACACAGCAGCTTGTTAAATAGACGAATCGCTAAAACACGTCGGATATTCTAAAATGTATATGAACGGACTCGTTAAGGACATAATTCGCATTAATAAAACTCATTTTAATTCTGCTCGTGCGACGGAAAAAATGTATTACAGCAATCGATTGGTAGGTAAATTTTTACCATACAATATTTTTTTATCTAATCCAAAACACACTACAAGTTTATTTAAAATGATTTTTTTTGTATATTCTATTGTAAAGAATTGAAGACGGAAGACATCTGTTTATACTACACAGCAAAAATAATGAAATAATCATTGTAACATAGCCGCCAAAATGAACTTTAATATGAGGAGCTAGGAGATATGCCCGGCACCAAGTGCCTTTTTTTTCAGAGGGAATGTTTTAAGCATACTCCGCGCCCTGGGTGGACGCGGTAGTTATGTGGGATTTTCTTCCGGATGGGAAGCATACCCACTAAACCCCTCTGTTCCTCCTACGCATCATGGCAAGGCCCTGACTTCTCGCAGAAAGACAGGGTTATGTGAGACTTGACTCACTGAAAGTCCATTGGTGCCCATCCACAAGTACAACTTGTGAATCCATGGATCTCTAAAGGAAAGCGTCGGGACTAAAAATAAAGCATAGATAAATAAAATCTGACAATCCCATTAATAGTTAAATACAGGAGACAATGCTAGTATTAGATTACTACGTTCATAGACATGGCGCCATAACCTTATAAGGAATTCATAGACAAGTGTACATTTTTTTGTTCCAAGTAATAAATATTCCACCAGCATAGTACCGCATTGCAATTATAAACATTTAACATTGTATTTATATAATTGTGACATATATAACTTATTTAATTAAGAGGAAAGTCACGTTAATCTTACTACTATCATAAATGCGAATGTTGAGATGGATGTTTGTTCGAAGGCTTCTCCCGAACGGCATGGATCTATTTAAAATTTGCCGTAGATGTAGAACACAGTCTGGAAGAACTCATTCAAATTAAGTTATATTTTAATTCTTCGCGGACGGAGTCGCGGGTGACAGCTAATATTAAATTAAAATGAAGATCAAATATAATAACCTTAAGTGGGAAATTGCAATGAAGTGCAGTATTTGATGCGTTGTTTCGAAAACCATAGAAAAAAATGGTAGCGAAAAAATGAAGAGCAATATCGTCGTCGTCGTCGTCCGTCGATGTTTATAAGCTGAATAGTTATTCATTGGTACAAGTACTGTTTTATTTAAACATGGGAATGTAGGTCGGCGATATACACCATGCGCCCTAAATTTTATTCCTATAATTGGATTTAGGGCGAACGCTCGTTATGTTGCGTTGAACTCACAACCGTATTGAGTGTTGAACAATTTCAAGAAATAAAGTAAAAATAATGTGTTTATTTTTTTATTTTATAACAGTAATTGTATTGGTAAAGGTAAATCTTACTAATATTATGAATGCTAATGTTTAGATGAATGGATAGGTGTTTGTTTGAAGGTATCTCCGGAATGGCTCAACGGATCTTGATGAAATTTGACACAGATTTAGAGCATAGTCTGGAAGAACACATAGGCTATTCACCAAGTTTTTTTTTAAATTCCGCGCGGACAGACTCGCGGGCGATTGCTAGTACTCGGTATAAAATAAAAAGCTTCTAGACTTTGTGTTACGAATGATTTCATACATAATTTATGAGAGTTCCTGGCCAAGGAGGCTTTTACCGTACATTCAATGTGTGAATTCTATACTAAAAATATGATTATGTTACCATAAGACTTTGGGTGTGACGGTTACTAACAATTAACTTTATTTATGAATTGCGAAGACAACGCAATTAGTCGACATCTGTTTTGTTATACGGATGCGTTCCGTACTTGGCTAATCATGTAGCGTGGGTCATAGGCCAAGGATAAATCTTCATTGTTATTAATACATTCTTTCTAATTAAATACTTATTGTAGTTCTTAATTTTAATAAATGTGATGAAAAGATCTCTTTAGTTATTAATTTTTTTTTCGAGTGTGTCGATTTGTTTTTTTTTACTTTTTTTTTTAGTTAATATTTTTTCATACTATTGTGCTATAATCATTTATGTGCGTGACTATTAAGTTAAAATTAACCATAATGAAAACAAACGTTAGCAAATGTAACCTAAAATATTTAAATATGTCACGTTTACGACACACAGTCGCTTGAAACCGATAAAGTATTGGCTTATGAAAAATAAACTATTTTTTAATAATTACAAATAACATTTTATTATTTGAAATAAATATTTCAAAGTAGAAATCACACTTTTTGTATCATATTATTACTGTGAGTTTGCATCGCAAAAACCTGTACAAAAACATATTGTTCTTTTTCATTCGTTTTGTAAAAATAGAGATAACATGTTTGTATACAGGTTTTATGACAGTGGAACCTCACAGTTACAATTGCCGAGAAGTAGCCTTGGCTCTTAATTTTAACATAATCCTCATAGTATCATTTTTCCGCAATGTGAGGTTAGTTTTGTCAAACAGTATGATAACACGTTTCCACTGCTGATTGTAACGTAACGTGCGCATTGTAATTCGTTAAAAATATATCAAATACAAATAGGAACGAGGTTATTTCTTATCTCTGGTATTTATTGCCATATTTAGAGCGCTCTTTTAAATTTTCAAGGACATTTTTGTACTCTTAAATTAAACATGGTATCTATCAAATACGTACGGTGAAGGAAAACATCGTGATGCAACCTGCACATATCTGAGAAGTAATTCAAAGAAATGTGTGAAGTCAACCAACCCGCACTTGGCCAGTGTGGTTG